TGGGAAAGTTGCCCATGATTTTGAAAATATTAAAGCCATTATGTGCCTGCGTGTTGTATTGTATATTTGCTTTATAATATCGAGTTTGGTGGTCGTGCAATCATAACTGGAACGGAGCTAGGGCCTGCCTCAAAGCAGTTGCTGATATATATAGATATATGTATGTATGTGTGTGTATAGGTTATTTCCAAATATTATTGTATTGTATTTTACAGATCGTAATTTAAATACTAGGATTAATGTATTTTTAAAAATTTTTGTCATCGAGCTCTCGCTATGACTATGAACAATTAATATTTTTGTTCATAATCCGGCTATGAACTTAAACCTTTTCTCCTAACTCGTCGTATTATGTGTGAGTTGCTCTGGAAAAATTACGTGCAATTGGTGTTTTGTTTCCCATAAAAATATGACCTGATTAATTTACAGACCGTTGGATCAAGAAGCGGTAGATGTTCAATGGCAACGTTACCACACAAATGTTTCGAATTACCCGTACAGTTACGATCGTCGCCGCATAATCCGCAATGGAACCCAGTAGAGCGTTGTTTATCATATTTCAACTTTTGTGACTGGAGACGGTTCTTCCAGAACATGATTTTAAGGTTTTCAGTTCAGCTCACAACGGCGGAATTGTAGTGCGAGTGTCATTGTCCGTTAAACTCGAGTAATCGCCGTTTATTTTGTTAGGACAAGTTACGTATCGAAAATGGCGAAACAACGGTTTAACTTTTTCTGTACTTCATCATTTGCCGAATTCCCAAATTATGGACATCCTGGTTGATTACAAGTACTTTTGTTTTGCAAGTTACTCTTGTAGATTAAAAAAAGTCCAAATACTAAATAACATGATATAGGCCAAAATGTAAAATTCTTATTTTTCGAGCCATAGGTATGACGATAGTTTTTCGTAATCTAAAATAGACAATTTTTATTAGCAATCTTTTTATTAAAAAAAATACGCTATTGAATTCAGAACTGAAAATTGAAAAACTCACTAAGCTAACGGTCACAACAGAGTACCGTCGACAGATAACCGTGTTGCTTGCTGTTTTTCTATACTTTTCTAAAATAATAAAATTAAAAAAAAAGAGTATGACATTATCTTTAGGGTAAAACTACATGGTATTTTTATACAGGATACCCCGTTCAAGTCTGACGCGTTTTGTACCTAAATAATAACATTTTAACCAAAATGGATATTGACGCGTGGTTTTCGCGTTAAATGAAATTTAAGTTTTTTCAAAAACAGTTTTTATTTCAAACATAAAATTACAGGCTATGTCAATAGGTGTTCGAATTTTCCATACCCTGCATAATTATAGACCTGCTTACTCTTTGACTTCAATAAATAAAAATAAATTTTAATTTTAAATTTAAATTTTAAAAGGCCAATGAACACGCAACCTTGTGAAATTAAAAATTACAAAACTTACCCTAGTGTCATAGTCTTAAACTCAGTCTGGTGGCGTAGGCCAGTTCTGCTCACTGGCCTAGTTTGAGCATTTTCTTCTGTTTTATCGATTCTGTTTAATTTTCAAAAATTTTCGATGGTCTGCCTAAAGAGATTTGATCGTGGGTGTTAGACAATAGTCAGCGGCTAGGAATAGTTTTTCATTGCGATGACACACTACTTAAGTGCACTTAACTGTAGGTTGAAATATTCCTCCCAAAACTTTCGTGTTCTTTGCATTTGCCGAATATAGCACGCATAGAGATATCCTCGCTGAAGCCAACCAATCCACACCAATTACGAACAAATGGAACTAATATATTAAATGTATATTATAATATATCATGCAAATTAGGATACAAGAAAAAAAACATACATTCAAATGGCGAAATTAACACTGTATTGACAGCGAGTTTACTGCTGTTTACAATATTGCTCAAAACATATTTCTATAACTATTGTGGGGTCCAAAAAGCGAATTATTTTTTATAAGTTAAAAAGTCTCTGATGTAAAACATTCTTTTTGTCTGTTGAATGAGAAATTTGTAGGAGGATTCTTTGGATGTCTAAATCTTCTCCTGCATTTCTGATGAAAGGCTGGAGATTAGCGTCCCAATATACACTAGAAGATTTATTACGTTAGCGTCATTAGAGGTTACAGGTGTCAGTAAATTTCGTCCGGCTTTCAGTTTTGAACCATAATTTATGAAATTATTTTATAATCGTCCAAACTTCATCTTCAAAAACAAAAAGTTCAACAAGATTTCAATAGAGTAAGCACCCTCCATTATTTTGGACATTTTTATAATTACGAATGTGCTCTCAGTTCGATCATTTAACCATTACTGAATGTCAGGAATGTCAGGAATTATCACCGATCTTTTTTTATATAAAATATACAGAAAACTAAATATCCCCTTTTTCTGCAAAATAGGTACCTTACTCTAAAAATAATAACAGTTATGTTATTAACAATAATGATACTTTTGGTAACAAAAATTAAATACTAGAAATACTATACTATAAATTTTACGAAATCCTTAATAGGTATAGGAACGTGACTTATCATTTGTTCAGGTTTTTAATTATTTTCCGAAATAAGTGTTCAAATTTGAAAAAAAAAATATTTCTTTTTCCAGTTCGGTTTTTTCGGTGGGTATTGTAGAGTGAATTGATCTACACGAAACCTCCGTAAAGTATACCCCATATTTCAATTCACTACGAATGGGTATAATAAAACCATCCACCTTGTGAACTTTTACCACACTCCTGCAGTATTTTCCGTCCTTAGGTGATTTAAATAGTTGTTCATATTAATGCATTTTACGGTGCCCTCATCGGTGTGTTTTCTTTTTAAAAAAGCACAGCAATAAATAAGTGCGATCTATATATAGCCTTGATTTCAGTTGCCCGATTCGTTTCGTCGGGTTCCCACAAAAAGAAACGACGGGTTCCGTTTTTTATAACCGGCGCGTTAATTGGCGAACTGAGGCAAACTTAATACAGGTGTAATTTATATTTGCCCTATTAGATACGTATAACATGCACCTTGGTAATTCTCTCGGTAGAACAGGAACAAATTATTAAGCAGAATACTACGCCGCGCCGTACCGCTGCATGCCTTCACTTAGTTTAGGTTTATTTATCAAATTATAGACCAACTCTTAATTATTTATTGGCCATAATACTGACAGAATACTGACAGGTGACAGAAAAGTGAAACATAATTTTTAAACTGTTTCAAATAGGGATTTATGAATTTGGTTATAATATAGGTTAAATGTGCAATTTTTTGATAATATGGCATCGCATGGCATAGCTCAGCTAGAAGTGTTTAATAGGGCTAATAGCCTAGGCCTAGATCGGCAACACTAAACAAACTAAAACAAATTGAGGAGTTCTGATATTTATTATTTATTGTTCATTCGTTTCACGGTTATTAACCGACATATTGTTTGCGGTGTGACTAATATCCAACAAGCTATCTTTAATGGGTTTTGGTTAGTTTTGTTTGTCAAGTTAACTTAACTTAGCATAATTTCTGTAAAGTAGTGCTTGCCCCCTCTATTGCCCAATATTTACAATATGAAATTTTAATAGAACTTTTTTCATTTTTGTTTAATATTTTTAAGTTTCTAAAATTAATATAGCCAAGAGGATGGCAGAGATATTTCATTTCAGTCTCACCGGGTAAAAACATTCTCGAACTCAACAGAAGTTGTAGTGGGACCAACGCTGCAAGGTGGTAACGTTCAGCATAAAAAAATATTCTCTTCTTTGAGAAAGATTATATTTCGGTGTTTAGTTAATTACTTGTATATAGTTATATATGTAGTGAGTGTTTTTAATCACCGTATAATAATAGTAAATATTTAAGTAAATATAACAACTTTTTTTATTGTTTAAAAAAAATATCATATCCCTTCAGAATTTTTTAGCCTGAATTTTAAGCAATAGTTGCAGTTGCAGTATAACCCTATATTGATTCTATATTTATAACTCTGGTTTCATAATTGTGCACCTGGTTAGAAATTGTCTAATTGTCTATTTAAATATATATTTGTGTTTTGATGTTCATTCAAGATAGATTTCAATATAAGTTTATATTTTTCAATTTGGAGTACTTCTTATTAATTAATTTTATCATTTGTCATTAATCCTAAATATTTAAATTAACTAAATTTCTCTAGGTTTACATTGTTGATTTGAATATTTAGCCTATTTGAGTATAAGCAATCAAAATTAGGACTTGGTCACCTCTCGCATAACTGGAAATGGATTTTTTTTTATTATGGTTGGACTCTAATTTAACTATATAATAACGCAAAAGAAGTCATATTGTTGCCTTAGAACATTTTTTTTTGTGTTATGTCAGAAAACGCCCTCTGGTGGTAAGGTAGTACTCGCAATCACTTCACTCATAGCATGAAAAGACTCTTAGGTTTAGAGTTAAACAAGAAATATAAGAAAAGTTTGCAGGAAACTGGCTTGAAAAATCCGGATGGCAATTACATTCTCTCGGACATTTCAGAAAATCCAATATAGTTTCCAGCATTTTCACTTTTCCGATTTACTTTTTTTTTTCAAATATCTGGGACAGTACCTCGTTGACTTTACTGGTATAACCGGAGTAATAACATACGATCTTTTATTTTTACCACTGGTTGTGGCTAATCCTAACTTCCTCGTATATGCCAGACAAATTCTTGATTATCACGTAATAAAACACAGGAAATCAACTAGAATTAACAAAAGACGCGTAAGAAACTGTCCGTGTCTTCGCTTAAGGCCAAAGGATATTCGGCACCTTTTATTCCTACCGCATACGGTGGCTCTGTTATGAAGCCTAACAATTTGTTTTTGCTTTTACCTATCAAATCTTATTGTTCATTAATCAGTCCTCCCCATTCATAATAAAGAGAGGGGCGTTTGCTGCGTTCGATTCAAAGCCATCCCGATTCAAGGGAATGAATGGCCAGTGACGTGTATATTTCCTGCACCAGTATGAAAACCGATTACGTTAAAACAATATTACTTTCTGTTTCAGTGATTTGAGGCCGCAGAACACCGAAAAGAGCCAAGAGAGATTGCGGCTAAGATTGTACGAAGCTTATGCATGGGGAATGCCATTTCTTATTGTATTCATTGGAGCTATATCCGACCTAGCTTGTATTGGCAGCGATTGCGCTTTTTTGAGGCCTAGATTTGCCGAAAATAAATGCTGGTTCTTTGGTAAGTCGATTAATTCTCAAATAAAATCAAATCAAATTGTTTTCATTTCATGTTATTTGTTTGTCCAATATAGTGTGCAGGAATTTGTGTAGTCTATAAATAAAGTTTTATTAAGCGCAATCAAATCAAATCAAATGAATATTGTAAAAATAAAATAAATCTTTTCGTTATTAGGAATAATTTGCCCTTTTAATGTTAACAAAAGAGCTCGAGATTTTGGTAACGGTAAGTCCTACGGGGTCGATCTAGCTTCGGGAATTTTTTTTCATGTGTTCTCGGTTCTTCGTAAGGGATGTGCTAGATTTTTTTGAAAAACCTCTATGACAACAGACTAGGTGTTTGAAAATTCGAGCTCTCTCTCTAGTTGAAATTAAAACTGCGAAGATTCGGAAAAGTATTGACCCGGATTGATGACCTGAAGGCTGAATATGGCCAATTTGGCTAAGCGGACAATATTTTTGTGAAATCAACTTAACACTAGCAAAGAAACAAATTATTTTTTTGGAGTTTGAGTTTATAAAATTCGCACTGTGCGTTCTGAAATTCAATCTAAAGCTTTGTAGTGATGATAGACAAAATAATAAGAACTGTCAGTCTGTTTTTATAATTGAAAAGCATTTTCTATAAAATCTCTGGGGCAGTGTTTCTTAAATACCTTTCTGCAACCGTTGCACCTTGTATATTTTCGTTACATTATATGAAGTCATCTCATACCTGTATATAGAGGGTTTGCCAAACAAGATGGGATCGAAAGCTTATTCCTAACCAGGGTAGAATTTCTAAAACATTCGGTGTGTGTGGATGTGTGCGTGTGTCATATACATAAATTTAATTCATTTCTAAATTTATACAAAAAAAATCTACAGGCTGGTTTCAAAAAGTCACAGCGCATCAAAGTAATTTAACCCGATATTATAAAATTATTTAAATAAATATATGTTTTATTTCAAATAGTGATACAATGAATCACGAAATAAAATAAAGTCAAAATAGTATAGTAAAAATATTTCTTATCAAATTGTCTCTTTCCCAAAATATGACGTGTTTAAAAACAGATTCTACTGGTGACTACTGGTTCATATATCACTAACTCGATGACTCTAACAAATAGAGTTGGGTTTTTTGTTAAATTGTTTAGATGTCCTTTTAGACCCTTTCTTATGCCCGCCGCCATAAAAATAGGATTTATATTTATATTCTGGTTGTTCCCTGTTGTGTCTTTCTAGTACCCACCCCCCCAGCCGGTTTTAGTAGTAGTTAGTAGTAGTAGTCATAGAGTTTGAGATGTGCTCTATTCTTACGAATGTTTCAAGTTTGTTCTCTTTTTGCGGTCTTGTCCTGAATTTTAAGTCCCCTGATTTTTGGGGATTGATTTGGTTGCCCTGATTTCAGCATATGGAATTTGATCTTGCATTGTTTGCATGACCTGCTTTAGCTCAAAATTCTGGATTTTTTAAATCCTATATCCTACAAAATTCCTTTGCTTGATCTAGGGTCTTAGTACTTAATTCTCCTTTTCTAACACTTTAATTTTAAGCTTTTTTCTTGATTGTCTTTATGAATATCCCATAAAATTTCGCTGATAGCTTTCCTTTTTTATCCATTCTTTTTTATTTTGACTTGTGATTTTATTCGTACTACTTTTTGCATTTTTCAATGCCCTTTAAAATGGAGAAGTGATTTCGGTTCTACCTTATTATCTGTCAATGGCTTTTTTTTTCATAATGGTATGGATAATTCTCACATTCAATCGCACTTTTCTTTAATTTTAAAATACCCATTAATTCTTTTGAAATTTGTTTGCCTGTTATATTTTTTAACCGAAATTTTTGATCTCTTAAATATATCTTCTCCGAATTCTTTCACTCCAAGTTCCAATATAAAGCTATCCCCTGTCTTGATCCGATACCTTTTGGATTATCGATGATTCATTTCCTTTCTCTCAATATTTATTTCAAACACTTGTTCTACAATTTAGCGCTAGATGTGATACTATACCATACTATACCTCAGTAAAAGATTGATTAGAAACGCATTTTATAATTTGTATGTATTTGTATAATTATTGCAAAAAATGTTGGTATAGTCTGAACCAAGGCCGCATGTTGAATACATTCAAAATATACCGATAGCTTCATCATCATTGGTGACAGGTAGGCAGCTACACAATTTACATGGTCTGCATTTTTTTTTTCAGCCAATGCATATTCTTTTTATATTCCAGAGCCACTTGCATGCTGATTATCATACCCCTACACTTTTTTTTTATTTTTTAAAGATTACTTTTATGATTTGAAAACTACTAAATTATGAAATTTTGTTACTGAATGTCGAAAAATAAATACGTGGCAAATAACGACTTATCAAAATTTTATGATTAGCAAATTTTATTTTATATTTCGAGGTAGGAATTAAATATCAGGAAGCTGTTTCAAAACCAAAACTAAACTAAATTTTTCTTTATACTTATAGTAGGTGTAATATTTTTCTATCGCATACCATCACCAGGAGGCATCAGACATAGGACAGTCTCAGCCCGTTCCGTGCGGTAGTTTTTCTCACTAGTGATAAAGATTAGGGCTGGTCTGAACGATTTGTTATTATTGAACCAAAATGTCGTTTCGTATGACAGGGTCGTAATAGGACATTTTGGAGCTTTTGCTCAGTTAATAAATCGGAAAACTGGAAACATTTGCATGTAGTTTAGGAGCTTTCACTTTGCATTTCTTTTATATATATCAACATCATTGCTTAACTTGTTTTATATCACAATATATTATCAACACATTCTTCAAGCATTTTCTGATTCTCAGACGATAGTATTAAAACGAATTTCTAAATATGCCAGAGATTATGAACAATCATTTAAAATGTATATTATTAAACCATATACTTAATGCGCTTTTTTATGTGAATCTTACCGACCGCAGCACCGCCATTTTCTTTCTTTTCTGTCAGAAATCATTGGCGTAGGTCCAATTAGTAAGCACGTAAATCAGAACAGGTGATATTCCTAATTTATTGTTGAGGTAGTACGTGTTAAACAGTAGAATTCTTTTTATCGGAGCATAATTATTTAATATTAGTATTATTAGTATTAGTATTAGTATAAAAATGTAAAAATTGTTTAAATAAAATAACCAACTGATGCTTAAATGTATCGCTCATAAAAATGTCTCTATTACTTTTTTGTTAGCACACCTCGTTTTTAGCAAATGGCAAAGATTCAATTTCGTATCATTATTTTTTAACTAAGTTTCTTCCTGTAATTAGGCTACTCCGTGTTCGTCCAAAACGAAAGTCAACGCAAACATATTTATTCGTACACTGTTTAAATCTTCGGAATTGACTGTTGTGCCGCCAATGCGATATGCAACGTGTATTAATACATATGTATGTGCATATTACGTCGGGCGCAACCTGTCGAAGGTCATCTAAAAAGAAAATAATTCATGGTATTTTAAGTAGCCGGGCAAGAAAAGTATAGGTGAGTAAAATACCTATTGAATCGCATATCGAGCAAGTTAAATCGGCTTTTTTCTAATATTTCACCATTCCCCGTTCACGTCGAATATTTTATTGCAGATTCCGGCTTCGCACTAATTCCTAGGGACAGTGTTTGCATATCGCCAACGCTTAATGTCACAATGGCGATTAAATTAGAGAAAAGGTGACAATTTGAAAACCGGTGAAAAATTTCTGTTAGTCTTGGTTAGATAATGCAGACTAGTTCAGTTCCTGTTTCCAAAAACAATATCTCCAACCCAATAAAATGACTGTATAGACCAAACAGAAGTTGCTATTGTGTTTTGGTTTTCTGTCATTTACACCAGAGAAACAATTTTAGTACTTTGCCACTAAACAAGAATGAAGCGAATGAAATTTTTATTTTAATACGCTATTAAAATACAGTTTATCACCTTTTATAGTCGGCTACCAAGCTTAAACAAGTCCCCCTTTTTAATTCTCTAGAATTTTTGACAAATCACTAAGTGAAATGATGACCACAATCATACTTGAGGTACGATGTAGGACATGTTGGTGCTAGTTATTTAATATATGTACACTTTTAATTGTAATTATTTTTCGTCGCTCTTCTATTTTTTTTGTGACTTTCTTTAGGGTTTAATAAGTGCAGTACCATACACCACAATTGCAAATCAAAGCATTTTAATAACCGCACACGAGCGCGATTGTTCGGTGACTGTTGAAACAAACATATCGTTGACGGCGTCGCTTGACAACGCTCATATGCCCTTTACGCAGATGCGAGCCATGGACGTTTTCTTAAAGCAGGTCCCTTCGGGTTGGGCAGGACCGAGCAACACAATTTGCCGACAGCTTCTTATATAGTAAATTTATTTTCCGATAAATGACATTTTGACTGCACAAAGTCAAGTCAGTGAAGAAGTTAAGATTTTTTTTTAATTATGTCAATTTAACGTGTCGAACCTTAATCTACCACTTTTGAGTAAATTTTTGCAAAACGGCGCGAATTCGTTCACAGAGTGGCGTGTGACTTGACCGCAAGAATTGACGAACGTCAAAATACAGCTCGTAAATAAATAAGCAAATTAAAAAATTTCGTGTTTTATTTCGAAATTCTGATATTAATATAATTATATAATTGGTACTATACCCAAAATGTTTGCGTATAGTACGTTTCAGGATTGCAGAATAAAACTAACAAATATGTAGTATCTCGTTTATTTTGATTTAAAAAATATTTGTATATACATTATAACCTACTTATTTTTAAGCTACATGTCATATTGCAAGTAACTGATAGAATCGGTAATATTTCTGTAAAATGAAAAATATATGAAACCGTAAGTGTAACCGTATTATTAAAAAAAAACTAGCAATTTTTAGAAACATCATATAGAAAGTAATTTGGCCTCGAATAACATTTGCGATAAGCAACTAATTACTGACACTTTCTTCCAAAACATTATCAACTTCAGATGGACTTATTATCTTATTATGTAAAGTTCGCATGTGTCTTAAAAGATTACTTTTCACATTAAATCCTTTCGTACAATAGAGGCAATTGAAAGGTTGCTCTCCTGTGTGAGATCTCTGATGAATGACCATGGATGCGTGTGAGGAAAAGATTTTGTTACACCGGAAGCACAACCTGCCTGCGTCATTTGAAGGTTTGGGATGGGCTGGTTTTATCTATCGATTTTAAAAAATATTATATTACTATGTAATCTGGCCTGGGTAACAGCTGAGATGAACACATTTATATGAATCTCCTAAATTTGTGTATTTTAAAGCATATTATATACTGCGAGCACACTTATTACACCTAGTAAGGGCAACGAGGTGCGGTCTTAGGGAAACTGGCCATCCTAAAAATTGTGACATTTGTTTAAGAAAATGTTCGAACACCCTCCGCACTTTCCTTGAAGAGATATAGCAAACAGCATTAAACACAATAAAGATTTGCATTTGCTTCAGGTTCAAAACATTTGAATTAGATTAACATTAGAAATAGATTACAATTAGGTCCACTGATGGACATTTCAGAAACTCAAAAATAATTTCCAATATTTTGTCTTTTCAGATTTACTTAATAAATTTTTTTCTAGTACCAGCCCTTTGTATAATACCGGATCTCGTTGCGCTTATTAGGACAGCCGGTACATATAAAGTACATTAAATTAAATATAAAATGATAATTTTTGTCATATTTAAAATTGTCCAAATTAATTAGATTTTTATAAAAAAAGACAGTTTCTAATTTTTTGGAAAAATTAAGTCTACACTTTTCAGGTAATTACGTCATGTCCTTTACAAATTGTGTTCTAATATTTGATACCAAAAACATATAATAAAATAAGGGAAAAATAGTTACCTAAACCTTCTCACACAGACCTTTTTGCTTGGTTGAGGATGGCGTCTGTTTGAAAGGCTCAATTCAAATTCTGTGTGAGTGTCTTGAATATGACGGACCCATTCTGCAGGCGTTGAGAACGATTTTTCACACAAATCACACTGCAGTTCGGGAAATGTTGCGTTTTCATCATCCTCCTAAAAAAAAATTTAACACTTTACCAACTGTCAAATTTCTCAGATTTATCGTTTTTTATTTAATAATGATATTAATATTTTAAAATATGTTAATCCTATATTGTCAATATTGTTTTTACTGCATTCTAATTAATTTGTTGTACGTAACAAATTAAAAAGCGTCTTTTATTTATTGATCCGTTCCAATTCCGTAATTGATATTTTTTTTAAAGATCAATTTTTAAAATTAGTAAATGTAAATTTTCGATATGTGTATGTGTATGTATATGTTTTTTTAAATTATATTTTAATTATATTACTTCCCAGATTTTAAACCCAATATAATTTCAAAAAACATGACAAAAAATTATGTTTACTATTTTCTGCCAAAAAAATTTAAGGCACATATAAAAATATGAATTATTCGTATTTACACTTTCCTTATCTCTTATGTAGGACATGTGAGATAGGTTAGTACACTTACATCAGGGCTATCTCTTCTCCTTCTTTTGGCAGGCAACATATCTGTATGGGTCTGAACGTGCCTGACCCATTCCGCCGGAATAGTAAAGGTTTCCGTACAAAGTTCACAAGTTAGCGGGGTGTAAAGGTCGTTAGAATTGTCATTAGACGTCGAATCGTAACTTTCTGTTTTGACAGATGGTTCAGGAAAAACTTCCTTTTGATCAATTAGTTCCATATCGGCTTCCGACCACCCGAGAGGTTCATCTTTGATAACTAAAAACTGCAAATTATCACCGTGTTTGGAATTTTCCGATTTGATGTTGTCAGTTGCATCAGACGAGTCTGGCGATTCCAGTGCCGCTGCTTCTGCCGATGTTATAGTGTGCGGCTTATCTTTTTGTGCTGTTAACTGAAAATAGAAAAAAAAGTGCATTTACGGGTTTTGTAAGCTAACTACAACTATGAAAACAAACTAATGGGTAAAGATGCAAACCCACCTTTTGGTTTAAAACAATGGTACGCTTTGGTGACGCATTTTCTTTGTCCAAAGATCCGTTAAAGTTATTCATGGAAAAGTTCAAAACTTTTGGTCTCGTGTATACTTTTAGCGGCGGAGGTTTATCCGTTTTTTGCTGCATTATGAACTTTGCAGTCCCTTTGTTGCCTTCTTTTTTGGATAGTTCTGCTGATTTTTCCTTAGACTGGCTTGGAGATTTACTGGCAGTTTCTGCTGTTTTCTCTTTGGGTTTATTTTGCGTCGATTCTGGATTGACCACTTGGGAAGTGATCAATGATTTCTGTTTTTGTTTTTGCTGCTCTTCTTCGATAGTTTCTCGGTAGAGGCCTTTGATTTTGAGTATGTCGCCCGCCTTAAGAACGACGTTCAGTATATCTTTGGAAACGGTAGCCTCACCGCTATACATGTACTTAACCAAAATCTTCAGGGCCTTGTAAGTAATTTCTTGAGGAAGCACAATCATTAGAGGTAAAGCCGTGGTCACTTTCGAGTGGAAACGAAGAGCTTTGCTAAGGTATTGACTAGCATAAGATAATACGAAGCGGTGCGCCATGATTTTGTGACCATCCATGGTCACAAGCGCCACATCCGCGTATGATTCTTCAGTCAATAGCGATGTAGCTATACAGGAATGAATGTAGGATGTATAAGAACTCCATTTTAGCTGGTAATTTTCGCAAATTTCCACTGGATTGTCCATTCTAAAAAAATATACACTTTTTACAAACACCTTTTGCTTAAAAGTATTTTCAACTATAGATTATTTACGGTGTTAACTAGTAATCCCGATAATAAAATTTTCTAAATGGAATAGGAAATCGTAGACCGGAGTATCTTATAGATTCTTAACACTATGGTGTAAAATGTTCCAATAAAAAGATTGCCAAATTCTCTTTCGTTTTTGGGCTAAGTGGATCTTAAAAACATTAATTTCATTTCAATTTTATGTAAAGGAAAAAAAATTGGATACAATTTTCATAGTAATTATAAAAATGAAAATTTGTGTGTTTTCTAATTAAGTTTGCGAATCCTCAAATTTTTCCAATAATCTAGTCTTTTTGCCAAATCACAACGTCTTATCAACACACATTAATAACAAAAGAACAAAAATGGTCGCAGAAATCCAAAAATTCTAAATTAAAATCGATCGTCACCGTTAAGAAACAACAACGAAATTGTTGTATTGTTTCTCGTTTTCATAAATAAAATGTAACGCAAGCTCGATCGGTCGGGTGCATTCTTAGGTTAAAGAAAAATCTTCGTGGTATTATTTTGCAACAAACATTTCCAAGGTGAGCAATCTCGCGCCGCATAATTAATAAAACCGTATTTTTCAAACGTTGGGCAACAAGCTGCTTCCTTCTTAATCGTTATTAAAAACGCTTTAATGCTCTATAATTGGTAGTATTAATTTTGATTGACATAAACGGTACCAGTTATAAGCCCCGTAAAGATGCCTGTCTGCATTTTGCACAATGGTTCTTAACATTAAGCTATTGTAAGTAATTGTCTCTTTTGGACTTCTACTAATGTAGCCTTAATTCGAGACGGAAACAGTCATCGTTTGTCGCCTACGTTGAATCCTATTTGTGAACACGTGTTCTTCGAAACTAACCAAAACTGAAGTAGGTTGTAACCTGCTAAGCAATGTGTCCAGGGTGCATTATAGATGTAAGTAAGTATGAGATGTAACCAGCTACTGTGATAATTTAAGAACTAACTTTCTATTGAACGACTTATATAACATAGTAAAATGAGGTCTTATCGTCCGGGTCTTATGAGTAGTAATCTACGTCAAACTTTCATGTTTGCTTTTCTTTTATCTTGTTTAATTTTACCCTCCATGCAATATTCGTAAGATAAGTAAAATAGAGGTATAACTATGCTGACATGAATAAAAATAGAATAAAATTATAATTATAATTTTTAGTGAACTTTGGTCCCTATGACCAAACTGAATCTGGCTATGGTTTTAAAAACACACCTCGTAAGGTTTTTAAACCTCATTTAACAAATTAGCAATAGACAAATTAATTTTAAACAAGTAGTCTACCTCACAGTACCTTTGGACAGAAAACTAAATTTTAAAAACCCTATAAATAAAACAGTAAACAACATCAAAATAGCTAAACGTGCTAATGGTCGTGTAACTTCTCCTTCAGAGGAATCGGAAAATGACATTTATATGAGAAGCATATTGGAATATGCAGGGCTGATCCGGACAAAGGTTGCACACGTATAATTCGTTTATAGAAAGATCAATTTTAAGGAAAATTTTAAATGATAAAAAAATCATTAAATAGAAATTTTCTTTAAAATGCATGCAAGACCGGTCAAAGATAGGCTGACAGCATATTCCCGACATTTCTTGTTGGTGAAAATCCAGATGCTTGATATCACAAGGAATATCGGGCAAATTAACAGACGTAACACTCCCCTCAGGACTGTGCATAAACCGATAACAAACGTGAAAGGACTAGACTTAGCTTAAGTCAGCATTAAATTGGGTTAATTAGCATTAGCATAATTTTCAGTTGTTTTTCGTAAAATATTAATAATTTTATTTATTTAAATTTAATTTTATATTATTTAAATTTAAATTTAATCATAACAATTATATCTAAGCTAAAGGCTTAATAAAAAAGTAATGCATGGGAAAAATTTAAACATCTAAAGTCTGAACAATAATAATAATAATAGTATTAACAAAATTCCCAAACAAAAATAGCAGTAACTTTGTAACACAACTAGTAATATTCTTAAAGTTCTTTACTACATTTAAAGGCTAATTTTAAATAGTTCATATAAACATGTGTCTTAAAATATTCGGTTGTCAAAAAATTTTAAAATAATACTTTAAAATTTTTTGCCGATATTGCAAGTGCTTGCTTCTAATCCCCCTAATAGGTTAAGTCCGGCGCCGTTTTAGAGATCTTCCTCCCCAATATTAGTGCAAACAAAAATGTACAACGTTCATTACAAATCAAAACATTTTTCTTCCTATCTCACCTGTAAGTGCGCCTATGTTATTTTTTGTACATATATACTTTATTTGTAAAACATCAAATTATTTTAAATAATGCAAAACAATAAAAATATAAATAATGTCTTTAACAACTAATTAATCATTTATCAAGTAACAGGATTACTTTAAAACAACTTGACTGCATTTTAATTTACAATGAATTAGTTTTAGAGGAGCCAAGCTTACTTAATGATGATATGATAACTGATTGACTTTTATCGATTATAAAAAATGGAAGAAAACTTTCAAAATCTGGAAAGCGTATTAGATAAGAAGATTAATTAATGGTGTTGGTTTGTTTTGTTTTGGTAAATTTGTTAATTGTTTTGCTGGTGAGTATAAATATGAGCCGAGCTCAATTTATGATTAGATAAATTTAGCTGCTGAGAGATGGTTGCCGTGTATTATTATCTGGTTATACTTGTTATTATATTTTATTCCGAATGAGTTCTAACCGGTGGCTGTTAGGTTAGCGACTTGTTCGCACTATAAACGTTAAACAAAGGCAGTTAGGTGATGTAAACATTTTGTTTCTTCACAAATCGTTAATCTAGACAGCGGAGTGCGATGGTAACTTTTCGGTAAAAATGAAAAATGTTGCCACAATTTAGCGTTTACCCGGTCTAGATGCGGTGATCACTAATTTCAATAAAATATAAATTTTCATTCACCTATATTATTACGAAATAGCGTATTCATCTTGGAACATGATCTTTTAAAAGTTTTTTCTCATTAAACACTTAAATAAAGTCAATCATAGGATTTCAGTAAGTCTAACTAAAACTTGAAAAAATTCAAATTTAATGACGAATTGCGGTAAAAAAATCGAGTACCGGACTAGCCAGGCAGCCAGGCTTAATATTTAATATTTACCAAAAGTGAAATAAGTGCACCTCGAAAAATTTTCTCAGAAAAATTCAGGTCAACTTATACAGGTAAAGAAAAAAGGACCAAAGGAGATTCTCACACAATTTGTGTGTACTTAACCACCGACAGCTTAATGCAATATACCAGGTGTCATTAACTATACCCTATTTAATTTATTTTGCAATATCTATCGTTGAGGCTTCATATAATTTACTATTTTACTGCATTAGTTATCACATATATTAATTATAACTTTTGTCCCAAATCTTCCATCGACAAAAAATTTCAATGAAAAAATTATCTATTCCTCGACATTTTCAAGTAGCAAAAAAAAAATAACTCAAAACTATCGTACTGCAATTATCGGAATACCGCACGCAATCCGACGCTGCAACTGATCCGTCAATTTAAAGAAATTCAATATCGCCGATACGACCGATCCATGACAAAACCAAAGATGTTGAATATGGTATGGCAAAACCGAGTTCCGTGTCCTTTGTCGTTATCGATCGTTTGCTTACGATCATCTTGTTCTCAATAGAATTTTTCGAATTTATTAACATTTTTTATAAATTTAAGCGGAAACGATTGACATCTACACTGTCCGCAGTGACACTGCGATGAAGTTTAACATAAACGGAAATCGACGAAAAATTAACCACGTATACGATAACAGCGTTTAATAATATAAGACTAAAAGTTAATATAAAACGTACCTTTAAGAACTATCGTTTTCGACTGTTTCTCTTGACTGCGCACAGGGCAAGCACGTACAAGCACAAGAGGTGGTGCGTTAATATTGCCGCTCGAAATCTCCGAAGGGTCTCTGCACCGGCAGGGTAGAAAATCGATATAATCGGATCCCCAACCTCCATTGATTTTAAACAGCCAATGGTATCTTGCGTTTATATTATTGATCCGGCGTATCGCTCTAAAGCGCAGTCGGTCGATGTTGACATGTACAGAGCGTTATCAGAAATCCTTAATACTTAAATTATGTAATTTGGGTATTTTTACCAGGGAATTTGTTTTGGTTGAAGTACAACCGGTGTAGAATACGTCATCCGAATTGACAAAATGTGATTGGGAAGATCCTTGTGTTTAAATACCTATTTATGCGATCGTGGCAGATCAAAAAACCGAAACGCTACACATAAGCATTGCAATAAATAAATAATAAATTAATTTGACTGTTTAGCACAGTTTGTGTGGCATTAAAAGGACGAGTTATGGAATCCACGTCAAATGGAAATTTACTTATATTATTCTCGAATTCTTATGATTTTTAAATAGAAATAGAAATTTGTTCTGAGAGAGTTAAACCGACTTGACAAAAAAGAAATATATGTTATATTTAAACATCCGTCCATAGCAACATTTCAAGTGGAACAAACACCGAAACTTTAAATTAAACTAGACAAGGTCGAAAATCTTTATGGTATTACCAAATGTATCTGCAATTCTCCGCATATCCTCAGTAGCCTCAGTAGCCTCTAGCCTAGCAAAATTCGTGCTACCAAAAATTAAAACATACTGCGTACCCTCAGCGCTTGATCAGACGGCTAACGTGGACGACGCAATGCGAACATCTTTGACAATTTGACAACCTCGGCCTATCTTTATTACACTCGATACTTGTGTTACAAAGGTATTTTTCGATGTAGGAATATTTAATTGCTTATTGGCTTTTTTCAAACACTTCACTGTTTTTGATTTTGTTTATTTTTAAGGTCTGTTTGTCATAAAAATAGGCCACAATATTAAAAGCGACTAAAAAAAATTAATAAGGTTTAATATTGAGTGTATTTTATGTATGGTATAAAGTAAGATACTATCGTTCTATCATTACAAGTGTAGAGCTTTTTAATATTAATCATAATTTTTTGGACTTTAATAATAATAATAATTATTATTATTAATCGGCAGCGATATCGAGTACCCATGCATATACATATTACGAATATAATTTTACGAAAGCAGTAACGATGTCTGGTTTATGTTATGCTCTGGTTGTGTTAATTTAAATAGTAGGAAATAACCGTTTTAATAAATAAAATTGAGGACAACATATTTCTGTACTTAAAATCCTTGTCTTTTTGCAAGTTCAATAAAGTTGTTGCGCATGTTCTAATCCGAGGAATATCGCATTGGAAAAAGACATCGCAATATTTTAAAGATTTAGTGAAAAATTGCGAAAAAAGATTTCAATTATGCGATGAATTCTAAAGAATAAATTTTTGCAAAATTTAGAATTGCATTTTTTCTCTATTTCCCAGTCATAATAAAGAACATGTGACGAGTTTCGCTGAAATAACGAACAACAAAGCCGTTTATTACACCAATATTTGGTAATATTAAAAAGAAGGATATTTAAAATATTTTAATAAGTAAATCGTAAAATTTCTTGGTTAGATGGTTGGTGCGTTGGTGCTTGTCGCGTAGTCAGGAGAACGTTTAATGGTAAGGTGCAATTTTTTAAGGTGGTTTTTAATTGATGTGTCATTATTTTCAACGACCACCATGTAGTTTATCGCTTTTAGAGCTTTTAGATTTTTCTACGATTTTATAATTAAACATGCCACGAAGTCCCGCAGTGGTAACCAGATGTAAGATGCCTTACAGCGGAGCGTCCAATTTTTTCTTTGCGTGTCTGTAAAACGACCGTTCGGAAGGTCACGTGAATCATTTCTTCGAAAAGGCGTTGTGTGCGACTTGGTTTTCCAGGCAGTCCCATTATTGACTGCATTTTCGTTGTCTACCCCGTAAACGCTAACCGGTTAATTATAGGGTTAAGCGTTTCTTGTAAATGATCGAACCATGGAATTGTTTCCACCTAATGATTTTTTATTGCAGGGGACAAAGAAATATTCACCTTCTTTTTCGGGCCAATGGGAACTCTTCTTATTATTAATTTGCTCCTGTTTGTTTTGACCGCCAGAGAACTGACATGCGGACTGTGGAAGCGAGAACTAGTTAAGTCAACCACAGAGAGGTGAGTATGTTTTATTTGCATTTTCATTTACAACAAAATGTGATTATCGAACGAAAAAAAAAACAGGAAATACTTATTACGTACTAATAATTGATCCAGCTTTCTCCGCAGTAATTTTGTTCTGAACTTACCTCCAATTAGGTGGGTACACAAAAAAAATCCTCATAAACATATCTTCTAAATTGCTTCGTTCCCAAGGTGTTAAGGATCTAAGAGAAAATGTTTTTTTTGATCAATGTAATCATTGAGTAAGGAAATTCGACTGAATGAGTGATTAATTGAAAAATATTTTTTAATTAAAATTTTGATATTTTGCTTTTTCTTACGATGTACCGATTCGTAGTATAAAATTCCTTACGCCGTAAGCTACATTCCTGGTAGTCTTTTTTATTTTCTTCTTAAATGTTAATTTTTTAGAACTAAATTTATTGTGGTTAGATACACTCAGAAGTCCGAAAAATGTACTCTTAATTTCTTATTCTAACTAAATATAAAAATGTCTATGATGTTTGACAGTACCATTCGTTAAGACACCCTCTGAGACGGCACTGAGCGTCACAATTTTAACCAAATTAAAGAAATATTAGCTCTTTATTATAAATGTTTTTGCCAAATTAAAACAAAATCGACCAAAAAATATGTTTTTATATTCTATTCTAAAATAGCTAATTATGCACCGATCAAGCGTGCATACATTTTGACCATTCCTTTGTGACGTTTGGCAGTCCCAACGGTCACTTTACACATCACTCAGTGAATGTATTAGTGTTGAACACTTTTTCTACTTAAGAGTTTTCTTGTTCGATATTTTTTAGAAAAAGTAGAAATAAATTTACATTTTTCGTTATGATTAAACCTATAAGTTTATGAAATCATATGCTTTCCGCCAGTTTTCTCCCACAAATACGGAAAAAAAGTAGTTGGTATAGTCGTCAAACTAACCTAAAAAAGACATGTTGGAATCATAGTATCGCAAAATTTCATCTGATAGCACAAAAAATAAATAGACAACGCCTATATTTATGCGATAATATTTCATGGTAAACCACCAAACCATGTAATATGAGTTCAATGAAAACAGACCTTGACAAGGTGCGTCGGTGTTTTTCATTGCTTGACTAAACCCTTACATTATATTCTGAAGCTCGGCAGACACGATGCAACTTATGTATGTATTGTTTCATCATTTTTCATCTCACCATTTTTGCGTTAGTTGGGGTGACTTGAAAAAGTTAGATACGTCTAACGTCATCAACTGATATCATATTGACGTCCAATACCAGAAATCGACCAGATCCGGTAAAAATAACACAGGAAACACACAATTTTCATATGTTCCTATTGATTTTTCTAAATTTGCGGAAATATTATTCCAGTTTAGCATCACGAGGGTAAGAGCTACTTGGCGTAAAAGTAATGTGTTAACTGGTTTACTTTCACGCGCATGCGCATTTTTTGAAGTTGCTATATGGATCGACTCAAGGTTTATCAACTTTTCCTTTCTTAGAATTTATCTCCTTCCTTTATCAGTGAGCATGCATTCTTATTTTAATTTATATATATTTATACAGTGTGTCCAAGATAAGGATGCACAGCATGGGGATCTCGGAAACTATAAGAGATACAGTGTCGGTTAAATTAGACAAAAGTTGCGCATTTTGATACCGAACAAGATCCCTTTTTACAAATTTGAAAATTCCAAGCCGTTCCGGAAATATCCGAGAAAAACCGAAATATTGCGATTTCGTTTTTATTATTTTTTAAAGCTATTTGAAAAGATATGAAAAAACGGAAAACACTTTTCGATTGGCACTTTTTAATCTCTCCAAATTGACGTTAACAAATTTTCATTACAGCGTTTCGATTCCATGGAACCACCATCAACTTTTATTTTTCTTATGGGACGGAAAAAAAGTACACACAGTATTAGGTTGTGCTTTTCATTGCGAATTCAACGATGTACGATACAATACGGTTACTTATGTTTTTATCCAGAAAAATGGCTTTTTAATACATTTCAGCATTTAAATGGAGTAGGCCATGACAAAATGACATCCAGTCAATTTCAATGACACATTAATGTTATTTGTCTTTGTTATCAGTCGATCATAAGTTTATTCCTTTAGTTATTGTTTTTGTATTTTTATTGTTGTTGTCTTTTTCTAATTTATTTTGTTCTACAATGGAGGGAGGTAATTTTACAAACGAAGAAAAATGTGATATGCTGTCTTGCTACATCTGATGCCAAAGAAATTGTGTGGAAGCCGAGCGTATGTATTCTAACAAATACCCAGAGCGGAGACAACCTGACAAGAGTATTTTTCGGCGTTTGTTATTTAATCTGAAAGAATATGGATCATTTAAGAAGCCTGCATTATCCCGACAAAAACCTTCCAATGAAGAAAACCAATACATCGTTCTACAATCTGTTATCGAAAATCCACAAACTGCTACCAGAGAAATTGAAGACCAGAATGGGGTAGCTAAATCTACAGCTCAGTTTATTTTAAGGAAAAATGAATTTAAGCCTTACAAATTCAGAATATGTCAAGGATTAAAACCGGGTGACGACGAACGACGTAGACATTTTTGTGAGTGGTATACCAGGATGTGTGATGAGAGTTTTAATTTTCCATATAAAGTGATTTGGTCTGATGAAAGTATGGTGACCAATAACGGTATTTATAACAGGCGCAATACACACTATTGGTCGCAACAAAATCCACGTGTTAATAGACTATCCAGACATCAAGTTCGCTTTGGGTTTAATATTTGGTGTGGGATTTTTGGTAGCAAGATTATAGGCCCTATTTTCTATAATAATTCCTTAACTTCCGAGCGGTACCTTGACATCTTGAGGCACGATTTAGAAGATGCCTTAGATGATTTACCGCTAGGCGCTGTGCAAGGCTGCTGGTTCCAACAAGATGGTGCCCCAGCCCATAACTCCAGAGAAGTTCGCCAATATTTAACTGAACGGTTTGATGGAAAATACATTGGGACTTACAGTGAAACACCTTGGCCTCCAAGGTCCCCGGACTTAACTCCCTTGGACTTTTTCTTATGGGGCTACATAAAAAATGAGGTATTCAAAGAATGTTTTGACAACGAGGAACAATTACGTCAATCAGTACGAGCAGCGTTTAATAAAATTACTCCTGAAATGTTAAGTCGTGTTTTGGAGTCTACCGTGAGACGGGCGTACTTATGCCTAGAAAATGGAGGTCATTTATTCGAACATTTGTTATAGAATTTGTTTTTCATTAACTTGTTGGATTTAGTTGTTATGTCAAATGAACAGTTAGAGTTAGTAAATAAATAAACACATTAACTCGAACTTGTCAACCATTTTCTTTTGCCTTTCATCGTTCGGATCTCATGGCCTACTTCAATAAAATACTAGAAATGTATTAAAAAGCCATTTTTCTGGATAAAAACATAAGTAACCGTATTGTATCGTACATCGTTGAATTCGCAATGAAAAGCACAACCTAATACTGTGTGTACTTTTTTTCCGTCCCATAAGAAAAATCAAAGTTGATGGTGGTTCCATGGAATCGAAACGCTGTAATGAAAATTTGTTAACGTCAATTTGGAGAGATTAAAAAGTGCCAATGGAAAAGTGTTTTCCGTTTTTTCATATCTTTTCAAATAGCTTTAAAAAATAATAAAAACGAAATCGCAATATTTCGGTTTTTCTCGGATATTTCCGGAACGGCTTGGAATTTTCAAATTTGTAAAACGGGATCTTGTTCGGTATGAAAATGCGCAACTTTTGTCTAATTTAACCGACACTGTATCTCTTATAGTTTCCGAGATCCCCATGCTGTGCATCCTTATCTTGGACACACTGTATATATATATATATATATATATATATATATATATATATATATATATATATATATATATATATATATATATATATATATATATATATATATATATATATATATATATATATATATATATATATATGTATATGTATATGTATATATAATCACATCAATCGCGGCGAGTTTTTACGATGTAAAAACGTCAGTGATGGATTAGGGGAAAAACATATTTTACAAAAAACAATTTTATAAACCAATGGGGTGACAGGGTGACAATGCACTGCACCCAACTGAATAGTCTCTCTGCTGCACCTACTCGATTTACGAACCTACCAAACCCACCAAAGTTTCGAATTTCTAAGCAATTTTTAAAACTCCGTATTTAAATATATAATGAACACGTTATTTTTCAGAGCCGCGTTGGGGAGAGTGTGTATGAAATTGGTGGTGGTAATGGGAGTGACATGGATAGCAGACGTTATATCCTGGGTGGTTGGTGGTCCTCAAGAAATTTGGTATGCCACAGATGTCATCAACTGTTTGCAAGGAGTTTTTATCTTCATAGTCGTGGGATGTCAGCCTCAGGTACGTTTTTCACTAGTCGTCGTGGCTGCCACAAAAAAAAGCACTTACCTGTATTATTATAAATTTCACATTATAAAATCACCCATGCTTCAAATTTTATAAAAGTAATATATCAACAGTATGGTTAAATCAATAAATTATTATTTCTGACGTAAAATGCCCAATTATGCGCAGTTTAAAACATCAGTTTCATTAACTACTGTCGCGAGCTATTTATTGCAAGTTACGAGTTGGATGTTTTAGGTAGATTTAAAACGCTGATAGAATTTTAAGGTTTGTCAGTTCTGATGATCACGTAATACGTCACTTAGTGAATTTGTGCGGTTTTGCGATAATGTACCCAATAATTGGTCTTTGAGAAAGTGTACTATACAGATACACAGAAGTAAATACAACACGATCATAAACTTCTTGAGACAAACACTCGCTCCACTATGACTCGTGCTCAAAACAAACTCGTTGACTATAGTGTCGTTTGTAAAACTTGTTGTCCTTCATTTATAAAGCCACAGGGTTTTTATTGACATTTTCGTTTTCGATTGACTTTACCGGTTTGTTTAATAATGAAACACTTGATAAACTTGCTGTTGCACAAAATATATGGTAAATATTAGCTATCATATATTATATTCCTTAAAATTAATACATCTCAAGTCCCTATGACATTTTAGTACAGAAGATTTCCGCACATCGCCCTAAATCTCACACACTCACCTGCAGTTTGCTACATTGAGCATATTGTCATTTTAAAATATAAGATTTAAAAAAAAAGCAGTACCGCATCAATGTTTTAAAGATTATTGAAGCTCTTAAAATAATTTGTTTAGTTACTTTTAGAATTTGATATATATTTAGAGTTTCGAAAATAAAAATGAACATCTATAATTATAATGTTTATTTTAAAAGTACTATCAGTCTATATTTGCCGTTTTTTTATTTTACTGATATATTTTTAGGTACTTTCGGCTGCAAAAAGGGCCTGGTTTCTTCAGAAACATCGACAGAACGGAGCTGCTGATACAGCAAATCACCATTCATCAAGTTCTCAAGGTTTGCCGTCAGTCGGCGACACACTGACCAACACAAACAGCGTCACAAATACGACAAAGTCAGTACCGTTAGAAACCAGCTGTTAACTTCTGACGATTTTGTTAATTTATTTATTTTCACTGCCTATTTCTCTCACTGAAAAAATAATTGCATGTGATTCTGATAAATAATATAAGGTACAGAAAAAAATGCGGCGTCGTATTGCTGAATTTGAAAAATTTTGGAGGAATAGGCTAAATTATGGTAAGTTTACAACTAAATTTGTGCCAAAACTGTGCCTAACTAAATTAGTAGAATAACAACTACCTTCTTGAAATGAAAATTTCTGTGATCTTTTTAGAAATGCGTATCCCTAAGCAAGTGTTTTTGTTTTTTCGTGTTATAGATTTGTCTCAACTTCTTATATACTATGACTTTTAAGGAATTTAATTATAGGTTTAAGATTTACATTTTATAATATTTGTATAACGTTATTAGTTCCTTATTCATGAAGCATTTTTTGTATTGTTCATAATTCATTTTTGTTGAAAATTAGCACTGATACAGATCGACGCATTTTTGTTTCCAGTATTAATATGTAGAAGTGTTTTGATCTTTTGTTGTACCTATTTAATTTATTTCCTTTTAAGGCTGATCTAAAAATTAAAGCTTATAATAGTTTGTAAGTGTTGTTAAATTATAATTTATGTTTGTAGCATTGTCAGTATTTTTGTATGAAAATAGAAAATATAGCTAAATAGTACTTTTTTCTGGTCGTAGTATACAAGCAAAGATCATAAAAACTGATAAATCTATCTAGGACCGAGGAAATAAGAAGTGAACGCAATTACATGCATGTGTGATAAATTTATAAAATATTAGGACAAAAAAATATAGTATAGTATGTCACAAATTAAAATTTTTCCATTCTTTGCATAGATACTAGGTTTTTTGAATCAGAAAAATTGTTGTTTTGATACAAGATTGAATTGATATAAGCAGAAGATAACTAAAAATTAATGTGTCCATCACCTTTGTGATTCATATCACTTGTTGCGTCTTAATTGCAAGTTTAACAGAACTGGGATCATATACTTCAAAATTACCAGACGAAATGAGTCTCATCTTTCCTGATTTCTGTCGTTTTTAAATAATTTGTTAATTCGTAATGTTTTTGCTTTAGTTTGGTACTAAGCATATGCTCATTATCACAGGTTTCCTATGAGCAAAAAATTGGTTTAAAGTTTTAGGAAAAACTTTTCTCCTTTAAGGATTACTTTAAATACAGGCTTTTCAGTTTTAATGCCTGCTTTTTTTTTACAGAAAATTTATTTACTAGATTATTCGCAATGATGTAAAGTCAATCTTTTATAATATATAATTATAATCTTTGGTATATGTACAAAAAATTTAACAAAATACTTATTGCTAAAGATTTTAAATTACAAAGTGATTGTCTCTCAACATAAAAAAATATAATTTGAAGGTCGAAGATGAAACACAAAAATGTGTAAAGACTAGTGCACAACGAAAGTATGAGATAAATGTTGCATCCTGCAACTAATGCAGTCATATTAACTTAACAGTCTTTAATAATAAATACTTAGAACCTAAAAAAATTATTTCATACATTTATCTTGGGGGTTTGCTTCACGTTCTTTTCTTCAAATTTTTGCTGCAACGAAGCCACATTTGAGTTTTGTTTAGCTGCGTTTTTTACCCCGACGGAAGTAGTTTTTCCTGCATCGGAGTTCGCTTTGTTTAATTTTGTTGCTGTTGGAAGTTTTGCCTCGACCTTTTTGTCTTGATGTGACTTAAAAGATACAGACCTTAAGTTGCAGTTTTTTAAATTTGGTTTGGTTTGAGTATTTACAACGGGTTTTGAGGCAGGTAGAGAAGGTTTTTTGGTAGTAGATCCACCATTTAACACATCTGGCTCCTTGGAACCAGAATTTGTATTGCAACTGGTAACGAGGTCAGGACTGTTGGTTACTGACCTGTTTGATTTTAACGATATCTGAGAAGGAGGCCTACTTGGCGAAGGCTTCCTTGTCCGTAAGTTAGGCGGTGTCACTTGCCGATTCACGGCATTTTTAGGGGCCGTTTTGTTGGAAGTTGTTGAAGTATTTTTGCTTGTAGCAGAGGTTTTTGATTTTTTTGAATCCACCACTTTACTCTTATCAAAAGTGTTATCACTATTTGTATCACTAACCTTCTTCACATTATGTATGGCGGCTAAAGGACCGGGAGGCCTTTTGAAAGTTGAGGAAAATGACTTTGTTGAATCTGATTTAAAAGTACCTAAAATTGGTTTTGATGGTTTTTCTTCAGCATTTGAGCCTGTCGACTGTTGTAGAGGTACATTAACAGCGGATGGATGAATGTAACCACTTGAAGTTGAACTGCCACTAGATTTCAAATTACTCATGTTGCTGTACTCGCTTTCCGAGACTTTGTAAATTGAAGAGGTGTTAACATAGGTGTCCGAAGAATCGGGCGATAATAAACAACCTTTCTTTTCTTCGGCTTCCTTCTTTTTTCTATTCAAAGTAGAGGTGGAATAAATAGAATCAAAATTCCTATTTTGAATTTCGGAAACAATTTCTCCCAGCAAACCCAAACCACTATCATTCAGCTGGGAAGTGTTTTTAACAACGACCGATTGAGCAGGAACGGGCGATTCTTCAATTACCGCGTATATATTATCCGAACTAGTCGGACTGCTCTCTTTACTTAATGAAACCGCTTCATTCAAACAGTCGTCATATTGATTACTGCTAAACTCGTCATCTCCCTTGGACACGTTCATTTCTGATATCTGTAAAGGTGGTCTAGGCGGTGGAGGACTTTTTGGCCTTACTCCCGATGGAATACTAAGGGGCCTCTTGAATCCTGCCGCTTGTCTCATAGATCCAAAGGTCTGTATATTTGGTCTTTGCGTTGGTGTAGTTACTCTCATACTCTGGGCTCTCATAATAACCGCTTTTTTAGCGGCCGCGTCTACGGGCAAACTCGTTGCGGGTATATCGATTTTCGTTTGCGGTACGGGGTCCGAAATTTGCAGATTTCTCAAAGTCTCTTTGTCCAAAATCTTCGAAGCCTTCACTTGATGCGCTTTCGGTAATGAATTTGAGTGCATCAAAGGTTTCTTGTCCACTGATCTCAAAAATGATGTTATTCTAGTTAATGGTCCCGCGCTAGTGTGTTCTTTATCTTTAGGCATTTTCCTGGATGAATCCGGTTTCACATCTACATGCAAAACAGTATGACTCATACCGTCCGGCGAGGACAGTGGCCTTGAGTTTTCTGTCTTTGGTGCATCAGGAGCTGGTCTCACAGGCACTTTAGCTGCATTCTTCAATGGCGATAGCAACTCCTTGGCGTTAGAAGTCGAACTTTCCAGAACAGGAGAGGAGATGATTGGTCTTGCAGTACTACCTGGGTTGGGTGGCGGTAATGTAGGTAAGTTTGAAGATGCAGATTCAGAGCTCTGATTGCTATGTAGAAGTGAGCTATTTCTGATTAAATTAATTTTTTGTACTGGTTTATCAAAAAGACTCAATTTAGGAGATTTCACAGTGGCAGTTGGTATTGGTGGACAGGGTTTTGTATAATTCGTGGTGCTCTTTATTGATGACCAACTCGATGTTGTGACTATAGGAGGCAGCGGTGCACTTCTCGCAGGTTCGGATGGTTTATTCTTTGCTGAAGTGAGACTAAAACCTTTGAAATTTCCAAAAAAGTCGTTGTTAAAGCCTGAAGCAGGAGCATTGTCGCCATGAAGAAGTGAATGGTTGTCCTCTGTTCTTTTGGCGGTTTCACTTGGAAACGATGAGCCTCTCGATTTGGATGGAGATTTTGACCTGCGAGGATAGCAACAAAGCATTTTTTAGACGCGATTCTAAAAAGTAGCACCAAATTGTTACAAAACATCACAGAGATGTTTGATAACCTATTTCTTAAAAAACAAAGAAAATCAATACATGCCGGGCATGTGCAGAAAACAAATGGACATTTAAAATGTGGTGGTTAATAAAAGCAGTTGAAGAAAACAACGACAGCTTATAAAAGAAACTATATTGCATTTTTGAAGTTGGGTTAAAAGACTTAGTACCACTGAAACACTTAAAACTAGACCCCATAAAAACTACTAAATTATCGGACAAATCTACACAAATACTACATAACAAATACAAAAGTGAAAAGCATGCAGACAATTAGCTTAATTGAGCATTATTCAGGCCTAGCAATTAATTATAGAAATGTATAACAAAAAGTTAAACTTCTTTCTGAAATACTAAATGAAAATAACTATTTTATTACAAATTGTAAGTAAATTATATTTATCAAAGTAAATTCACGATCATTTCAGAACCATATATATTTTAAACACAACTAGACCCATGAAATACAATTCAATGTTGCATAGCTGACACCTCTTCAATTAAGGAGAGTCAATAAATATTCCGGCGGTGAAAAGGTGAGAGATCCAGAAGAAGCAAATACTTAATTATAACAAAAATTTAAATGAAACCATATTATCTTTGATTTTTTGTTTTAATTAACTTCTAATGTTGATATCTGTGATTGTGATTAAAATGTTCTCATAATTATATCAAGGGAACAAACAAAAACAAACATGAAAGATTATCACAGTTATTGTCTGTGTTGGCCCACACTCCAAAATCAGGTTTTGGAGAAATTGAAATTAATTTTTTTTGCCATATCTCTTACACATACTTTTGATCCTGCAACAGAACCTAGGTTACTATCGGCACATTCAGTGCCGACAATGTTATAAGAATTTATATTAAGATTCTGTGATGAATTTGCCATGATGATTGGTGATGCATGTGTGACAATTGGTAGGCACCTATCTAATTTGGGGGCACTTCCCCCGCTTTTGCTTGCACCAACAATATTAATTAATTTGAACGTTTTCAAATTTTTAAAAGACATTCGTCGAAATGTAGGTTCTGATTGAGGAGCCAGCACTATATCATCATTATTATATAATACGTTGCTTCTATCCAGAACTTTATGTTTAAACTCGTCTGTGATTGTGTTACTTCTGACAATACCATCGGGGTTAGTTGTTGATATTAGGGTAGATTTGCTTATTTCTAAATTAGGCTTATTGCGTGACACTTGCTCACAAACAGTAGGGATGGTAGAGCCATTACAAAAGGGACCAACACCTTTACGGAAAGACCACACATGCTGAAAACACTTTTCTACATACGTTGCCGGTTGTGATAACTTCCTGCCGAGTTTCAAATTATATTTGGCATAGTAGGACAAAAATGCGAGTAGAGCTAATGTAGGTATTACTCCGAGGAATAAGATGAACATCGCTTTAACTACCCCTTGTCGAGCTGCAATATATAATATGTGACACCTAAAAATCAATTGAACTGATGTATTTTACCATTTGGATCAGCAGTTGGTCCACTATCTTCCGACCCGCCGAGGCCAGGATATTCACAAAAGGGCGGAGCAAAGCCTTCCTTGCAATGACAGTGACCTTTGTTGTTACACCATCCATTACCATTGCAATCTTTTTCACAAGATAGTGTTTGCTTTCGAAGGCTCAAGACAGGCATGCATTTTTGATTTACACACATCTGAAAAAGGAATGTTATTATAATTATTTGTTTATGTTGTTTCCAACCATACCATCATAATAATAATTTTGCTTATTCCTAAAATTAGGCTCATTCCGTGAAACCATACATAACTTTGTTCCAACCGTAGTCAGACATCGAGTTGCAACTGTAAATTCCTGTCACTAAACTGATTTTTCTGTCCGGCAAAAAATATTCATCGTAAAGTCAGTTGAGTGACAGGAATTTACAGTTCCAAACCGGTGTCTGACTGCGGTTGAAACAAAGCTAACATAGTTTATGTTTTGATTTTGTGGTGTTTCTTGGCTATATTTTTCAAACTGCCCATGATGTACTTTTCAACTATTTCAACAGGTTTAATACTCTGAAATGCGTTTTCCAGTTTTTGTGATTTATTTCTTAAGTTTGAATTTCAATGGTGCTACTATATCTATTAATAATATACCTTTATAAATAATTTATCTTAACATAACCGCGTCGCGGATCCCAAATGCATTGTTTCTTCGGAACGAAACGCACTTTATTTAACTAAAATAGCGTCACTTATAGCACGATTGATAGCTTTTAACGATAAAAAAGATTTAAATTTGTATCAACTTTGTTTGGCCGATTTACTAAATTTTTTTTCAAATTTTTAGGGCTGTCCATTATCACCTTTAGCTTCGTGTTACAGGTAACTAGCGAAACGACGATCTAGCGAATGGAAATGTTATGCGATATTGCTTGGTTCTAACCTTCATTTTTTTGTTGTATTGAAGAGTAATTTATATTAGGTAGGTGATTAGACTCTGGCAAATAACTTGGTCCAAATATGAAATATGGAAGGTAGAATATATAAAAAAGAAAGGCGAAATTTACGGGGAGCGTCAATATCCTGCACATATCCTTGTTGCATCAACTTAGATATGGCAGTACTATCTATAGCGCGATGTTGTAGATGTCACAAAAGTAAAAACGGAATCTAGGAAGATAGTAGTAGTAGGATATGCATGCTCAAAGTAAGTACACTTTAATTAACAACTAAATGAAGAACTTCGACAAATATAAATTATTTCTCTTATTGTTTATTTCAATTTCAAATACAAGAAAGATGGCAGTAGACGAGTATTAACGGAGACGCCCATTATAGCTCCTGTGGGAGCTTTTGGACTTTGGATTTTTAGGGGATAATTAATAATTGCCACATTGTCATTTACATTCTTATTAACCTCTTACTTGTTACTTAATTGTGAACTAAATCTTATAGCACACACAAGAGATTCAATACCTTAAGTTACTGTCTTATCAACGCATTAAGGAAATGACTAGAGAGAATTGGAGAAACACCTTCCAGCATGCCATCGAAGATGAGGAAAAAACGTGCGAACTTGACTACTTGATCTCTCAAACCCGTCAATTATAACGTTAGGTCCTCAGATGATAAAGAATTATGATTTATAAATTATCATTTTTTTATAATTTAATTTCTGTTTAATGTATTCTTTGCATAATGTTTAATTAAAAATAAGGATACCTAATATATTATGTACATTATGTCTAATTTTGATTTTCTTAAAATAGAATCCCCTTCCTTTTAGGAATGCCCTAGGGATGAATAATAATAAGCAAAACCCGTAAATTGATCCAAACGCGGGTGGTACCACCTGCACTCACTAACAAGAAAGATTTCTCTGAAATCCATACCAAACAATCAAAGCATAATGAGGTTTTATTCCTATTTACTGTAAAATTCAAAGCTTGTGGAAAACTTCCTACCTTTCCTTCACCACATTTGGCACCATCTGGAGTTAAACCGGGATCAATTTGATTTGTACCTAAATCTACAATGGCAGTTCTGCAAGGAATGATTGATCCTTTTTTGTTAATAAATCTATGTGACAAAATTGATACAGATTCCATTCCAAATTCTAACCTTTCATTTAAATGTTTACAATGCAACATTCCACACAATGCACTCCTAAAATAATACAAAATTAATATAGAATCAAAATTCTACCACTTTCATTTTACAACTTACTCTTGGTCACATTTGAAATAGGACTGGTTGAATTTGTTGTACCCACAATTGCCATATCGATCGCCTTTCATGTTCATTTCGTAACATAAATCATCGCTCGACTTGCCGGTCTCGCCCCATAGTAACTTACATTGGTCAGTTCTAAATAAAAATACCATGTCCATTGTGAAATGATAATTAGGAAAAATTAGATTACCTTGTGCGGCAAAATCCGCGATAGCAAAAAGCTCGACCATCGTCGCAAACTTCAGTATCCATTTTGTAAATGTCAGCGGGACAGTATTCCGATTGACCTGTGCAATATTCTGGTAAATCACATTCATAATCGGCAGATCTACATAATGTGCCTGCATTCTTTGGCCTACAGGTCTACAAAACAAATTTGATATAAATATATGAAACGGGCTCCCCATTAATCCTGCATTTGTAGGGATGAGATAAGTACTGAGACTTTTTTACTTAGATATTAATAAAGTCTTTATTTGCCTATTGCAGTTTTTAGCACCATTTTAACGTCGCAGTATAAATATACCCTCAACTTATTGACTATTATTATTACTAGCATAAATTTCGTCTAACATATCACAACTCCAACAGCAGATTTTTGAGTTTTGCCTTAAATAACAGAAAAAAATTGAAAGGGAATCTACAGCTGTGTAGTGGCTTAGTCTGTTAGTTATTCTAATAGCTTTCTTGCACAATGGTTCTGAAAAATTGGAGACTTATCACTTTTATATGTTACATTTAAATATTAGTCGCGACAAGAAATTTACAAATATTTCACATTGTAATAAGGGCCATTTATATAAAGAACTCCAGGAGTGTAGTTTCCTACTAGTGGAAGCGGTTACAAGTGCGGCTGGTTGGTTTTATGGTGGTGGTTGCATATTAAACCAATGTCATGTCAGAAAAGTGTGACGGCAATTCATTTATGTAGAAAAGGAACAGCTGAGGCCCTAATATAATAATAACATTAATTTTAGCAATTAAAAAATATATCTCAAATGCACATTAAATTCAGTCTAATGCAAGTCACCTTACTAGTTATGGCTAAGTTCATATTAATATGCAAATTGAAAACGTAAATTAAAATTATTAAATTAAATTAAATCGCATTGTTATTAAATAAATAAAAAAATAAATTTAATTCTACTAAAGATTTTTATATATCCCAATAAGGGAACTCTTTGACAAACTTTGACATAATATAAAAAAGTTTATGAAATAACTGCGAATCTTCACCGTGATATAATTGACGTGGTCATCCCATTTAAGGAAAAAACTACCCCTAAAGATTTTAACTTTTTGCTGGAATTTATGTAAAAATCGCATTTACAATTCATGTGATAGCCACAGTCAAAATTACGAATTTTTATTCGTTCCAAGTCAGAAGCTTTCATCCTGGAATAATTAATGCATTGGGTTTCCTCTAAAATAAGGGACAGCAGGCTAAAATCTAGCAATTTTTTTACCAGAATTTTTCAGAATACCAGAATAATTAATGCCGCATTATCCGCATAGCAGACAATCCTTTCCTTCGGTAAAATGGAAAATATTCCTATCATATATAACGTAAACAAGATTGGCCCCAGAACCGTGTCCTGTGGCACGCCATACCCTCCATATCTTGTAGGCATGATTTAATTAGTTTTTTTACTAGCCCTCTAATATCTAAGTCTACAAGTCTGTCCAGCAAGATATGGTGCGACACAGTGTCGAATGCCTTGGCCAAATCCAGTAAAACAGTAATAGACTTTTTTCTGTCATTAAAAGATCGGACTATGCTTTTTTCCTAAAAATTGTTTTAATCTAATTTCAATACACTTTTCAAGGACTTTGGGCACACTATGTACTAATGCCATTGGCCAGTAATTTGACATTAGGTTTCTCAAATCTGATTTATATAGAGGGATAATAGGATTGCTTGAAAATATCCGGGAAGGCTCCCTTGGAGAATACCAGGTTAACCAAATATAGCAGTGACATAGTAAAATATTTATGTTTTTCTAATAAGAGCTTTAGATATACCATCCCCAACATTTGAATCCATATTTTTCAGCGATTTTATTATTTATATTAATTCTTTGTAGAATTGGCAAGAATATACTCAAATTATTTTTTTCCACATGTGCATTTGTCTAGAAAGGTTCAATTAAAACAGGCTATATCGCTTAGCATAAGCAAAAATTTAAAACGAATCTAGCGAGAAAAATCAATTGAAATCAACAAGAGTATAATTGCGTAACAAAAAGAGGGTCACTGAAGGTTTATTTTTTAAAAAGTTCACCATTTAGATCTCAAAATATCCATATATGTATGCTTTGTCTGTAAAAAACTAGTGTTACTTACAGTTAAATCACAGCATTCGCCAGTCGCACAGCTGGCATTACTGTGCAACATGCACGTTGTAGCATTACAACATGTATTATCACAATGTTCGGGCAGTCCACAATCGCACTGTTCCCCGGGTTCAACAAATCCATTGCCGCACACCGGACTGTCAAATAAAAACTCGGGCTTGTTTTTCAAGCAATAGTCCATACCATGCGTAAACGCCAACAGCAAATAGTTCAAACTACAAGATGACCAATGGGTAGGAGCAATGGTTGAGCTGCTGGGTGCCATGATACACCGTTCGTCTGGACATTTGCACTCGGTAGTGTCGTGCTCCATACCTAAAATAAGACAAAATTATTACACCGCAAATAAGAAAAACATTGAGATTCTAACCAAAATTGTGTCCCATTTCATGAGCAATAGTAGTTGCAACTAGACCAACTACGTGGGAATGATCAGTGTTGACTCCACCTGAATATTCATAAGTACAGATCGGCCCCTTCAAAGCCTTACCGACAACCCCGTGATCGAAATTAAATTTGCTGCAGAATTAATTGTTTCGGTTATTAAGGACATATAAGCAATTAAAGAATACTTACGACAGTAATTGAGCATTATCGTTGGGGTGTTCCGGAACTAGTTTTTCTCTTCTATAATGCAAAAAGTTTGTGAGCGTGGTGTCGCCATTTGTCGAAAATGTAATTTCGTCATGTTCACTCCATATAACTACTCCCACTAGAGCGATAAAAATATTCAAAGGCGAGTAAAGCTGAAAAGTATAAGATACTTCAACAAAAACTTGAACGTCAGTTCATGTCAAATATGCAAGAATCAGATTTGCGGAAAGTCCATGAACTGATTATTGCAGTTTCGAAATTTCGAAAATTGCGTAAATGTTGCTTACTATGTCTCGTTTAAGAACCATCTCTTTTTAGACAGTGAATGGTTTATTATTAACATTATTGATCGTATAAGGTGATTCATAGTGGATGAGAGATTGGACGTGCGGTGGTGGAAATAAAAAATAATGCAAATTTCTTTTTTTTTTCTTCTGGAAGACAATTTAAAAAGTATATCACATTCCTACACCTAAATATTAAGCTTTTTTAAAATTATTATTTAGAAAATTTAACAGTTAATGTATTATAAGTAGTAAATAGGTATAATTATTTCAGTTTGTCTACACACAACTATTTTATTTCCAAAGTTTCAAATATTCAATAATGTGATAAAGATTTAATTGAAGCTATGTTTTCAACAAAAGTTAGGGAATATAATTAATTTCTCTAAAATAGCCAAGGGAAATTACATGGAGATATACAAAAATAACCAAAAATTGACGACCGGATATCATATATATGTATGGTATTCTATATATACCTATTTCGACTATTGCTACTAGAAATTCAACAGAAACTTATCGACGATCACTTTTTGTTTGTATTTTAAAAACGCTCTACAAAAATTCTTTTATAGAGCGTTTATAATAGGTCCAATTTTTGTTATCAAATTGATACTGACGATACGGTGCAGTGACGGGAGTGCTTGGAAGGAACATTGGAAACAATTGAAAATAAAAGAAGACACCCAATTTACATGTTGTATTACTCAGGTCAACGTTTTTTATAGAAGTTGAAAAAAATAATCACACCTTGACAGCAAGGTAGGATAGGTTGTTCAATTAGAATTAATAAGAGATAGTCATATTGTTCAAAATTTTGAGCGTTTAATTGAAATAAAGATTGTATTTGTACTTATGGTTCTGTCTATTTTTGGATCAATTTTTTCCAGTATTCTTTAAACTTAGATGTGCTTTTTTATATAATTATGCATATAGTTTGTGTGTACACATATTATTGTTAAACTGTTCTATAAAAATATTTTTATTTATATTCGATTTTGATTGAACTTTTTTTGGTGAAACGCTGTCTGCTTTTGCTCTGTACAATACTATACAATACCTTTCTTTAAACCATTTCGCTCAAATTCAATACAAACTACACTTGCAAGGGTAATTTTCAACTTAACTGCATATTAACTTACCGCGTTAATAATGTTGGCAATGTTCTTGCAATGATTTAGAACCTTTCTTTTGTTCTCCCCCAACTCCTTAAATTCTCTATTATCTACAACTAATATCAATTCGACGTATTTGGACTCCTTGTTGGCATTGTAAGGACCTCGTATCAGTTCACTATTTTCAGTCGCTCGTTTATACTAAAAAAGAATATACAAATAAGTCATACAGTTAGGTGTTTTTGTTTTTCACTATGAAAAGCACAGGCAGAAGGGTATCTAGAATTCCAATGAACCGACAAAATCGATCTTTAAGGTTCAACGCAGATAAGGCCGCCAACGCTAGCTTATTACCACTGGCTTCTTGGATTGTTTATGTTATTTTGTATATAATTAAAACGGGGCATGCACGCACGGCCACAGTAGTGGCCTTATATTAATTATATGCACAATAAGAAAAAGAAGCAAGCAAAAAAAAGTTTTTTTTTTAATTTTTTTCTTAGTTTTGCTAGTTTTTAAGAGCCGTTAAATGGTACTACAAAATTTTAATTTTACCTTGTGAAAGCAGTTTTGAAAACAGTCAAATCACTCTTTCCAATACGATAAAAATTAAAAGGAATGGAATCGAAATTAAGCAATACCAAACCCAACCCTTAGCAGAAGGGCTTTTATAGGAGTGCTATTTCAAGCACGAATTCGTTGTCTAGGATATAGCGCGCGATTCTGCGAGAGTAATCCTGTGACGCGACATTTCCGAAACTTGGAAAGGATAGAACCGCTTTCGCAAGGGGAAAAGCAAACATGATGCAAGTGCATGAACATGAAGTCTTAGTAGCAGTAGTAGTAATAACTAGTTAACACTGCAGATTAAGATTAAGACGTGGGAGAATTTGCATAGCAATTGGTCTGCCTTCAATGCGATCAAAATGATCTATTGTGACTCTCTCCATATAGAGTTTTATCTAGATTCGTCGCTCTGCTTTGGCTCGACACTTTCGACTTTAAAGATTGGAAGATACGCTTTTGGGAAAGGATGTAAACGGAACTTCCTCCTCATTTCCGGAACCTTATACGCATACCTTTGGCGTGGTGCAGCTAGCAGAAAACTGTCTGAGCTTCACTCAAGAACTTACCAGACCCTAACGTATTTTTTTTATATATTTGCTTCGTGTATTATTTTTTATTTCGATTGAGAATAATAGAATCTTTTCAAATGTAACAAAACGTGGATCCATCGATCGATCAGAGCTATAAGTACTTCCTTTTATTTTTTTAAAACGAGTTTTATTTATAATATGCCTATATACAGTCTTGTAAATTTCTCAGCATATTTTCAATTTGTAATTTCAATATTAATTATTTTTGCAATATTAGAGCTTCTAGTCTTCGACCCCAAATTTGTAATTGTTTTTGCCTCTGTAAAAATTTTACTTGCAATACTAATTACATACACTTTAAGTAGTCACGAAGAAAATAAATTTAATATTAAATGTAAATTTGATAATCTCGTGCTACGGGGATATGTTTTTGTCAAAAACAAGAGAACATTCACTGACTTAAGTGTCTGATCGTCCCAACTCATGACCAACGTACCTATCTCGCGATAGTGTTAATGAATCTAACGTTTCAAAGTGACATTTTAGCCACGCCAGATTTGTGAATAATAAGGTGTTGAAATTCTACTGAAATAATATAATTGAATCAGTTTAATTTGTTCTGTTGAATATTTCAAAAAGAACAATATTAAATCAATGAGGTTACGTATTTTAATAAAACATAGTATATTATGCAATAAGTGCGGTAAACGGCATTTGACTCACGAGTTTATTTGACACGAGCGGAGCGAGTGACTCAAAAAGTTACCGAACGTGTTGCATACTATATTTTTTCTACGACCGTTAGCTTTTGGGAACATTTTTGGGAAATACCTCCGAAAATATTCGATTGCTCCCAAACCCGTGCGGTAAAATCCCGGAAATGTCCGAAGTGGCTCAGATCCGTGGGAAAGGAAACTGAAGTGATAAAGTGACGCTTCCCGCACGCTAGATCAGTGTGTAATTAGGCATTTAATTCATTAATACTATATTTGCTTCTAATTATTATTATTTATACAGTTTAAAACTCGTGGATTAAAAAATAAGTCGGGTTTCATTCGGGACATTGACAAATCCGTTAGTTGCTTTTTATCTCTAAATTTTGACGACGCGTACTTGTATCTTGTATCTGGCCAAGTGAGAATTTTTCATGTTGAAATTTAAAAGTTTTGCGAAATTCCCCAGCCAAAATCTATAAAAATTCCAAAAGTTTTTTAGAAATGCATGTGCACAATCTGCACTATGCAAGTCACTTCGAGCATTTCCCATACATGAGTCACGGGTTGAGGAGCGATTGGATTGTTTCGGTTGTATTCATCCAATACGTTGATAATCTTTTTCAGTCGCTCGTAATGTAAGTATGTCTAATATACTTTTTAATTAGTTTTGAGAATTCTAAAATAAATTTTACAAAATATTAGAAAGGTATTTTTTACATTAAACTAGCTAACAATATTTTTGGTATGTAGAACTTAGAATGAAAACCAAGTAAATAATTTTGTAGTTATCGAGCTGGTGCGAGATTTTCAAATAAGGAATGTTCTTTCAATTTCGCCATGATTGATGATAGATTTATTTCAATTTCACTTCCAAATAGTTATATATCGAAGGATATGTTTACAAATTTATTATAATTTTTCTAACATTTTTATTATCATCATTATCAAAGGATGAAAATATAGTAATGCAAAAAGCGTAAAGCGTGCTTTCTATATGATAAAACGAACTTGAAACTAAATCACAATTGCTGCAAGACGGAAATCACTTCGGACATTATTAATTTTTGATCTTAATCCCATTTTTTCTACGTTACATTAATTTGGTTTATAGTAAAACATTCATAAACACCCAATGATTCCAATTTGAAGTGCAGACTGAATTTGGATTTCAGGTGTCCAGCTAAGGGTTTTAAAAATTCCAATTTAAGCAAATTTGCACACAAATTTACAAGAAATGCTAACTTACCCTTAAGAATTTATTATCAGTGGCAGCATGTTTGTAGCGCGGATCACTTGCATCACCAGAATAGCCACATGTTTTGTTGTGTTCTTTCAAATCAGAATGCTTGTATAAAAAATGCGCATCTTCTACGCTTAAACCTAAATTTTTGCTATTTCGTTCTATGTAACGCATCTCGATGCCATCAAAGATCACTCCGGACAAACCATCGCAGGTGGATAATGCTACCCAAGAATTCTGCTTCCCTCTGACTTTTCCATTGTAATGGCAGATATCTACTTCCTAAAATGTTGACCTTTTAATTATTTTCAACGCGTAACAGTAACCCAATAAATGGAAAATGTTAGTTTGCTATTTTCTCATACTTTTTAAAAAATATTTCTTTACTTAAAATATTACATGATTCTGACTATGCAATAATGATTATACACTATTATATGTAGGAGCATAAACTAAAACTAATGAAAGTAATGCTTACATATGAAACTACAATGACTTTAAAAACAAAGCCGTTTTTGATAAAACAGATCAGTATTTCTATCAAATCAACAAAATGCCTTAAATTATTGAAGAAACATGTCTCAAAAAAATTACTTTCCAACAATTGCAACAACCAAATTGGTATTTATGCGATCACAATATTATATTTAATTTTAATGAAGCCTTCCAAATAGGAGCTTTATAGCAAGGATTACGAGGTTCTACTTTTGGTTACCCTTGATGATTGACCACGATATCTATACATACCTCAATAGACGGCCTACGCACTTTGTACTTTCCCTTTTCTTGATGTTTCTGGAAAAAGCCTTTGGGGATAAGTTGCTTGTTTAATGTCAAATCCAAAATCATCTCTTGTCCGTCAACTTCCATCGTAATTTGCACATAATTCGCATGCGCACCTCCCTGAAATTTAATAATAATCCTTGGTTTATGGCATGTCATTTCAATTATGATAAACGTAAGATTTAGAAAGGAAAACTACTATGATAAAAAAGCAGCAGTGCGCGGAGTTGTACAATAATAATAATAATGGTCCACTGAAAATGGTCCTCATAATTATTAAAAACAATGTTTATTGATTTTTTATTATTGATTTTGTTTTGATTTTCAGAAGATTCAATACAGTGTTAAAATCTCCTAAGTAAACTGCGGTAAAATGATTCACAATGGACAACATTAATTTATCAATTGTTCAAACCAGGGTTTTGTTCATTCGAATTTGCTAAAATTTCCTTGCGTTTTTGTTGATACTTAACAATGTTTGTTTCACAAAAATATGTCTTAAATGCTGTAAACTGGAATTTTGCCTGTGTTATTGTTCTTCGTTATTGTAAAAACTTATTAATTATTTTATGACTTAAATTTATATATATTTTGCCAAAAGAACGAAAATTAGTATTTAATAATATCCTGAAAGTATACAGAAAATATTTCCAAAGATGGCAACATTATTTTCTTTTTACAAATTTGAAATTAGTTTTCAGCATTAGTCCCATAAGTATCTTCACCTCAAGTCTTTACCACAATTACTTTACGAAATAGGGCCGGGTGTCCTTAAATGGTCAATTTTAATTTCTGGAAAAATTTATCTGCCTGAGTTCAAAATAAAATTTGCTCTTAATATATTTGGTCTCCATTGGAACACGGCTGTATGCCATATTCAGCTCTCCAGAACTTTTAATACAACATCAAGGTAAATCAACAAGAATATCGATTCAGAAAAAAAAAAAGAATATGGTGCGCGTTATCTGTAGTAATCAGAAGCAATTGCAATGTACAAATCAAAGCAAGCAAAGCCCAAAAAGATAAACTTTTGTTTATCTATCCTAACAGAAAATTCGAAGTAAATAAAAATAATTTATTGAAGTGAATAATCGTTAACTGTAGTACTTTTACTTGAATTTTTTATTTAGTTAAGATCGACACATGTGTTAAATTTTACTGGGTATAGTATGCAGTATCCACGATGCACGGCAGCGATTTTATTTCTCGGAAAGGGATTGGCTGATTTTTGTCGCGAGGGCGCCGAATTTATTTTTATGATCGATGTCTGATCGATAGAGAATTAGAAGGCATTTAAAAATTGGGTTGCGACCATAAAGTAAAAAAATAAACACAAAATGTTATTTTCATTTTAAGTATTATTTGTTTGCTTTTTATTTGGTGTATTGAGTTCTTATATTCATATTTTAGTTTAGTTTAGATGCGGTTTTCACTAGGTTTTGGGGTCCTTATTTTGATAACAATAATGGCCAAAAATTTTAATATAATTCGTAATTGAATTTCGATTTGACTTTAACAATAATGGCCAAAAATTTTAATATAATTCGTAATTGAATTTCGATTTGACTTTAACGAGTTTCTTGTGTTTTGGTTAGTTAATGTTATATCATCAAAATGATCCTTAAACAGTTCATGCCCAAAAACTTTGACTTTTATCCAACCTCCTACGGTCCCTTTTAAGCAAATTTTACTATGCTTTTTAGTCAAAGATGACGCTCCAACAAAACGCTTGCTGATAAAACGCAATAAAATGCTAGTGTTGATTGTAGTGAACCTAAACATAGTTCATATTTTATGGGAAATAGTAAATAAGGCGAGTCGTCTACATTTAGAGACTAATAGAGTCTTTTGCTGATTGCTGTCAAGATTAAAAATCAAGGTTACAAAATATTTCGAGATTCAATAGTATATTTTTCCCTTCTAGAAATAGCATTACACCCATCAATTTTAAACTTAATTTGAAAAATAGTGAAACGAATGAAACAAAAACTATTCCACAAAATGTAAAAATGTGTCCTTACCTTCTCTTCAGTCGTCGACACCTGCCTCTTCTCTCTTCCATGGTATATTTTCGGCTTAACAAGTGTATGGTGGTTAAAATCTACGGCAGGATGTTGTTCAGCTGGAACAAAAAGGACAAGTTGAAAAGTGGATTTATATTTTCGCCGACGCCAATTTAAAGTTGTAACGTTTATTTGCCACAAATTAAACAGCTGCAAAATTTGTTTAATGAAACGGACGTAAACCCAGAGCGTTAACCTAATACTGGTGGATCGTTTATAAAAATTGCTCTTATTAGAGTCAGTTTACTTTAACGGTAATAGCGGTTCCACATTGTCGTACCCACTCCTAATTTACCCTAAGATCAAAACCAATAATTGAACACCTAGGTTAGCGGATAGCGAATTTAGATTTAGAAATCACATTAATTTTCTATGTTTAATAACAAGTCAGTGTTTGATGTTTTTTAGAAGCATAGTGAAGCATATTTTTCAAGGAATTTGATCACGTTAAAATAGCTTTTTGTGTTATTTTTTTTTGTGACAAACTTATTTGAAATAAGTATATCCAATGATTGTTCAGAATACACAAAACTAATCAAAACGACTGAATTCGACAAAGTTCAAGGTCATCAATTAGTTTGCAGCTTAACTTAATTTACGCTGACAGAAATTTAATTGAAATAAACGGTGTAGTACTGTTAATGGTGAATACATTTTGGTCGATTTAAAAAGAAAAGAACAAATTAAATACTAAAAAATTCGGAACAAGTTATAATAATGGTTATGCTATGCAAGAATAAATAACAACTGGGTTACACCAGATCTAATACAATTAATAAAACAAAGAGATAATGCATATAAACACTGTAAAAACAATCCAAATAAAAACCATTTAAAAATCAAATTCAAGAATTTGAAAAATAACATAAATAATCGAATAAAAACATTAAAAAACCAAACTTTCAACGTAAATTGCAAAAGCCGAAAATGATTCACGAAAACAATGGGATATTGTCAATTCCTTAATTAGGAGTAAATCAACCAAACAATGCATAAAAAAGTTAGAAACAGACAGTAACAGAAGAACAAGTAATGAAGACCTCGTACATATAATAAAAACTTTACAGATATAGGGTTAGATATTGTTAATTGAGGACGAGAAAAATTCTCTAAGCACGATGTTAACGTTTAACGAAGTGTCATGTAAAAATATTTATTTTTGGAACCAACTAGTGAAACTGAGATTGCTAATGATATAAAAATCGTTTAAACAAATGCCGATGGTGTAACATATCAGGATCTTGTCAACCTGAATCAATACATTGTACCTATTTTAGTATTATTAATAAATAATATATTGGTTACTGGAGAATTTCCAGAGGAACTAAAAATTGTTACAGTATGTACAATATATAAATCGGAGTCGAGGACGTCGAGAAGCAATATCACTCATAAGTACTTTTCTAAAAATAATCGAAACTCTTTTGAAGGATAGAGTGACGTGTTTTCTAGAAAGGCATGCTACTTTTGACCCGTTTCAGTACGGATTTACATCTAATAGTGGTACACTAAATGCCACTATGAATTTAATACCATGTATTCGTGGAATTAAAAAAAGCCTTCGATGTTGTCGATCATGGTTTGCTAATCGATAAGATTGAACAAATGGGACTTAGAGGAATTATTTCACATCTAATTAGAACATACTTAACCAACCGCAGACAATATGTAACTCTGGAGGACTGCAGTAGCAGAGTTATGGTTAATAATTTTGGAGTCCCTCAGGGTTCCGTCCTTGGGCCCCTCTTGTATAATTTGTATCTCTTGAGTCTGCGCTTTATAGATGATACGGTCTTAATTTATACATAAAAAAATTTAGAAGTATTGGCAAATATAACAAGCAATGACTTAAAAGGATATTACAACTGGCTATTAAATAACAAATAAAAAACAAACATGGAAAAACTAAATACATTTTATTTAAACAAAAAAATAATAACTTTAAGATTAAGATAAATGATTTTGGAAAGAGTCGATAAAATAAAATATTTAGGACTTATGCTTGACGAGCAGCTAAATTGGAATGCTCATATTAGCCATATGAAGAACAAACTATTCTATTTCTAACTATTTCTTAAGTGAAGTTGCAAGATATAACATTTACAATGCGTGTTTCTTGTCGGTTATAAGATATCTTATTGCAGTCTAGGGTAATGTAATAAAACAAACTCTAATAAAATAAAAATAATATTGAAATTCATGTTTAAAATAATACAGAACAAAATTAAAAGCAACACCAAAACAACAATGAACAAATGAAATACACTCACACAATTTAAGAAATTACACTGACATAGAGTTATATAATGTAGAAAATTCCAATAAGACATACAACCTACTGCTGCGAAAAGTGAGAGAAAAAATAAATTTAATTAAATTCTTGTAAGACTCGAACCTATTATATTAGATTATTATTACAAAATTCAGTTAAAATGTTAGAATTTGTTTGAAAATTACCTCAATTCATATATATAGTGTCTAACTGAATAAAGAATTATTTAACAAAAAAAAAAATGTTCTGAGTTCAAGTGCCATCACATGATAAACAGCTCATCCTATATATATAGTTAAAAAAAGTTTTATATTATTAATATTGAAAGCTTATTGGCAGTGGTTCCCAAACGGCGGTGTGCAGATAAAATCAGGAGATACGCTAGACGAGTTGAAAATTAAAAACAGTTCTCACTTAGTTAAAATTCAACTAAACAGTTTATTACAACAAAGTTTACGTTGTATATTTTTCAATTAATCATGATTTTTAGATATACCATCCTATTCATTTTAACGGGGGGAGAGGCACGGTACGAAAAAGTTAGACACAGATTTCGAAGCATATTAATGAAATTAACTCGTGACGCCCATAATTAGTTTAATAACCTACAATTAGCAAGTATGACTTACGCTGTGCAGGAAATTAATCACACCCGCATATGACGCATAGGGAACACGTTTAGTTTGTCTTGTATTGCTTCGCTATAAACTCCATATCTATCAACCTTTAGTGATTTCCGGAGTGGACACAAAATTTGCGTGGGCACACGTACAAGTAACACATCAAAAATTGTTACCAGCAAAGAAAATTAGTATTATAAGCGCATAAGCCATTTTCATAATTAATAATATGTACTAGTAAACGCACTCTGAACAAAAAAATTCAAAAAGTAACAAAAAAACTAATGACCTACGTTTTTATTGCGTATAGAATGGACCACAATACAACAATACGTTTTATTCTACTTTAATAACGTTCGCTAAAAGTGAGCATTATATGTTACACCTCTTCTATGAAATCAATATACGTAGTCCCCCTTCTAGTCGCTAGGTGGCACCACAGCTTTAAAGCAGAGCCAAAAAACTGTGGAATAACTTACCATGGACGGTATATTCGCCATCTATGGTCTTAACCTCATTCCTCTTTTTGTGCTTTGGTGGCACATGTTCATTTTTATTCGGCGTCGGTGTTTTCAGCTTTTTTCAGCGTTTTTGGAAGTTAAATGGAGAAGTACAAGTGAGATTTACGTTATTCCTTATCGGATGAAGAAAGAACCTACCTACGACGAAAGATTAAATCTTTCCATCCGCGATTACGTAATCGCTAGTGGCGTGATTCCCATCAACGAGATTTTCTTACAATTGGGAGACGATTTCTTCATCGTCCGGGTTCCGATCGGAATCCCCAGAACTCGAAAGACCCCCCATCTTTCCCACTTATACGACAGCAGTCGTATGTAAGTGTTTCACAATTGGAAGCAATCCTTTTGTGAGGGGGTCGGCCATACATATGGTTTTATATTTTTTCGACATCGAAAAAATAGAGTTTTCTGGCTCGTCCGGCTATGGATGAGGCGCCCGGGATACTGGGACATAATGAACAATTTTTTATGGCTGTTGGAATGCATTTACTCCATCGTAAGTATATTTTTTAGGCCCTTCAATTAATTCTGATGTCATTGTTGAGCCCCTTGAGACGGATTTAAAGCAAAATGGCCTTTAAGCTATGGGGTCGATAGTCCCAACACAAAGTTTGATGTGTCATGACATTTTGGCAAGTCAGATTAATACCTTTTTGAAATCCGGTGTGTCCGAAGATTGTCTCAGTGACCTTTTGCGTTGATATCCTGTGCCGAAGAATTGCCCGCTCAATAACTCTCCTAAATTGAATGTGCAGATGAAATCTGCCATCAACAAAGGTGGAAAGAAAAGGGATGAGAGACTGACTGCAACAAGGGGTGCTTTGATGGTGGTTGGTAGGACGCTCTTGACCTTGCTTTTGAAACCGGTTAAGGATGAGTAGTACTTACTTCTCATCGAAATGTTGAGTAATGCAATATTTGTTTTAAGCAAAATACACCATTTAGGTTCAGTATATAGAAGTTCAGCCGCGTTAAGCCTTTCGCTGGTCTCAAATGAAATGCAGCCTTGTATGAAGGAAGTGCTCGTTGATGCTTCTTTGCACTCTTGTTTATATGGAGAAGATTTGGCTGATAGGCTCAAATCAATCAGATTAGCTGCAGATTAGTGGCCGAGTTAAAGTCGGGTGCATCCGGAACAAGGCTTTTATAGCATACAAATTTAAACTCGACCGTCCCACTTCGTTCCCGGAAGTTGCAAGGCTGAAGTGGGTGAAAGTCATTGTACCCTCAAAAGAGGGAATACAGGAAGGTTCGAGAGGAAAGGGGGTGGAGTTGTGTCCCCAGGAAAAAATAGTAAGTACTTTTGTTGAAAGATTGCACGAGTTTCGGGACATTTGGAACTCTAGAACTCAAGATGCACAGATTCTACCTTGGTTAGATGGATATAAAATTCCATTTGCGAGGCCAGTTATACAGGACTTGATTACGACAGATCCTGTTTGGTCCCAACAAGAAAAAGATTCAATTTGTAATGTGGTCAAACACCTGTTAGAGATAGGTGCAATTGCAGTTTGCGAACCTTGTAAGAATCAATTTATTTTACAGATCTTTTTGGTTTCAAAATTGGATGGTTCGGTTTGATTAGTTTTAAATTTAAAGTAACTGAATGCTTTTATTGACACTTGTCATTTTAAACTGGAAGACAGAAAATTAGTAGAAACACTCTTCACAAGGAAGTCCTTGATGACCACTCTGGACTTGAAAGAAGCTTACTTTCTAGTCCCAATAATTGAAAATCAAAAGAATTTTCTAAGATTTTATTTTGATGCTCTCTGTTATCAGTTTAACGTGTTACCCTTTGGTTTATGCACCGCCCCGTGGGCCTTTACAGAATTAATGAAATCTGTGGTTTCTTATCTCCCTGCCAAGGCTTTTCCCTCAATAGTTTATTTAGATAACTTTACTATTTGGTGATAGCTATCCTTAAAAAATGTTCAAGTAACTTGCAACACACTGATTAGGTTGGGTTATGTTATTAATTATAAGAATGTTTTACATCCTTCGAAATCCCGTAAATTTTTAGGTTTTGTTTTTTTGAATCCCACCACTTGTTTTTCTGATGAGTAAGTAAGTTTTGCAATTTGAACCATTGCGAAATAAGAGTCTTTGCCGAGCTTTGTGCTGTGCTAGTTTTCAGTTTGCCCAGCAGTTTGTTATAGTTGGGTATATACTAAGAATTTTTGAGAGAATCAAATATCTAGCCCTTCAAGACTCTGTCGATAATTATGATATTTGGATGATAATTCCTTGTAATTTACGGAGGGATTTTATGTGATGGCTAAAAAGTTTACAGAATCCTGAATGCCCTGTAAGGCAGCAATGTTACAAACTTGAGATTTTCTCAGATGGTACTCCTTTGGGTTGGGGAATTGTGCCAGAGGACTTTGGAGTCCTAGGGAAGCTCAGTTTCATATTAATGCACTAGAATTAACTGCGGCCTCATTTGGTCTCTAATGCTTCGCCTCGTATTTGACTAACTGCGAGACACTTTTGAGGATTGATAAGACAACTGCTATTTTGTATGTAAATAGAATAGGGTGAGTAAAATTTCCTGTTTTAAACGAAATTTCGAGGCGCCTTGGGGTTGGTGTGAAGAAAGGAGGTTATGGGTTAAAGCATCTTACATTCGATCTTCCGATAATTTTGAAGCGCATAAGGAACCCACGAATTTGAATTTTGATGGTGAATGGTACCTTTCGGACAATGCTTTTGCTAAAATAACAAGCAAATTTGGATTCCCATAAATCGAACTGTTTGCTTCTCGCCTAAGTAAGAAATGCAGAAAGTTTATTTCCTAATTTCCAGATCCGGAGGCATCTAATGAAGACGCGTTTACTGTTTTTTGGAGCGACAGTTTCTTCTATGTTTTCCCCCCGTTTTGCTTGTTGCCACTTGTTTTACGAAAAATCAAGGCTGATTGAGCTACAGGGATCGCAGTAATCCCTTACGGGCACAGCCAGCATTGGTTTGCTTTTTTTTTTTTTTTTTTTTCATGGGAGGCGTTGTAGTTATTTATTGTTTCTAATTCCAGACAAATTACCTTCTTCTTTTGACAGGAGAGGTCACCCTTTGTGGAAATCCCTTACCCTGGCTGCAGGGATTTTGTCAGGCAAGCATTCCAGAAGATTTGCTGGATATTTTTCTATCATCTGTTCAGAGCGCTACCTTGAGGCATTTAATACCTGCATGCATTTAAACTTTGGTGGAGCTTCTACGAAAGGAGGGGAGTGGAGTGTTATTACTTCTCACCTAGGCTGTATTAGATTTCCTTACTATTCATTTTAGACAAGGCAAGTCCTATGGCTCATTGAGTTCTTTCAGGCAGCACGGCCTTATTTTTGGATCAGATTTATTTAACAATGCAAATCTAACTAGGTTTTTTAAGGTGTTTATAATCTAAGGCCAAGTAAACCAAGATATAACAGCACTTGGGGCCCTAGTTATGTCCCTGACTTTGTAAAAGGGTTACGTTCTAATGACTTGTCATTAAAGCAATTAACTGTCATTAAAACAATTAAATTAGTTTCTCCTACTGAAGTTAACGATTGTACATAGAGTCCAAACGCTCTCTCTTATAGAATTGGTCAACATAAAATCATTTCCAGATGGATTAGAAATTAGAATAACGAATCAAATTAAGATTTCAGCTATAAATAAGACTCGACCTGTTTTTTAATTTTGCATAAATATGAAGATGTAAATCTTTGTGTGGTTTCAAATATATTATTGAGAGGGCCAGTGCTTTAAGAGGCAGTGAATCTCGTTTACTCATTACATTTAAAAAGCCTTGAGGGCAGCAACTATACCCAACAAAAGTAGATGAATAAAGATAACTTTAGAAGATAGTGGTGTCTACACTTTTATTTTTACTGTTCGCAGAACTCGACATGCCTCAACATCGTCTGCGTTTTGTAAAGGTGTTTCAATTGATATGATTGGAAAAACGGCAGATTGGTGAGAATGCTCTAAACATTTAGAGCATTCTCACCAATCTGCCGTTTTTCCAATCATATCAATTGAAACACCTTTACAAAACGCAGACGATGTTGAGGCATGTCGAGTTCTGCGAACAGTAAAAATAAAAGTGTAGACACCACTATCTTCTAAAGTTATCTTTATTCATCTACTTTTGTTGGGTATAGTTGCTGCCCTCAAGGCTTTTTAAATGTAATGAGTAAACGGTGATAGACCTATTTGTACAGCAAGTGCAGGCCTTTTTGTTAATGCCACATTTGGGACATAGAATTTTTCAGAAGGTTTGTTTTCTCGGATAGCCATTTATTTTGTATTTGTACTCGAGGCTTTCATAAACATCCTGGATTTCCTTATATAGCCGAATAAAATCGTTTTATAACAAATTTGCTGAGTTGCCTTTGAAAGTCTACGTATATTGATTTCATAGAAGAGGTGTAACATATAATTCAATGATCAAACGAACTTACCTGGTAAGTGAAGTTCGATCGTAATTATATGTTACACCTCTTCGTAGAAATCACCCATTCCCGCCCAATTTACTGTTCTGAACAGTACTAAAATGCCCTTTGGCAAATTTATTATAAACGGGCTTTAAAATAGAATGAGGTTAAGACCATAGATGGCGAATATACCGTCCATGGTAAGTTATTCCACAGTTTTTTGGCTCTGCTTTAAAGCTGTGGTGCCACCTAGCGACTAGAAGGGGGACTACGTATATTGATTTCTACGAAGAGGTGTAACATATAATTACGATCGAACTTCACTTACCAGGTAAGTTCGTTTGATCATTGAATTGCTGATCTCTTTGTAGTATATTTTCCTTTCACAATTCAAGAAATCAAATTTAAATAACGTAGGCATCGGGCGTAATATGTTATTTCGCGGAACATCTAGTCGTTTCACATCTTGTCATGCTGTTATGCATGCAATTATGCGTCATTTCAAGCATTGTCTTCGTTATTAGAAAGATGCGCTGCTAGAGCAGGAAAACATCCGAAATATGTACGTCTCATTTGTTTTGATGACCGCGGTGTCCCCTATCAGATTATAGAATGCCCTCAGGACGGTAAATATTGCCATAAAAAATGCCGCTTTCCAAGTTATTGACGATCTATCACCGACCATGTTGGTTAGTTTAGTTTAGTTTAGTTAGTTTTGGTGAAGTGAAGGTCATTGGTTAAAAACGAAATTATAACTCTAGCACATTCACATGCTGAATGGACCTTCTGAATTTTTTTTTCATAATTGCTTCACAAGTATTATTATCATTATAAAGGGCCTCCGTCTCTAGTAGTTATATGGTTGTCCCAATCACTAGACAGGGACACACGTTCATTTGAATTTTCCTTCTTATAATTACTTAAGCGCTCCGACATTATTCATGGAAATTAGACTAACTGAGGGACACTCGTCGTGAACTGAATTCACACTAAAAATGTGGAAATGAAAGCGAGGTGGTGCGATTTGCACAGATCAAGTGTAGATTATTTTGAAAGTTATTTAATAACAGCATGAAATTATGGGATAATATACTGCAGTCTGAACACATTAATAAATTGGTATCGAGAAATTTCTAAGTACCGAGGCGTTTTCTACTTTTGCATGGTGAAAACGACAATAATGATGGCTTTTAATTGCGACGCAGCGGTTACCCAGGAACTGTAGGCAATTTTCCAATCACCACACCTTTTTACCACTAAAGATTAATATTATCATAAATCAAGCGCTGTAAATTGTAATGCTTCTTTAGTCAGGTTATCCATAAACGACCAAAGTATTAAAGTTTGGACATATGTGTATCGCACATAGACGAATGTGGACGAAATCTTGGCCAACAATTCCAATAAAAATTTGGTAAAACATTTTCAAGGCTTTTTTTTCAAAAAAATGTCACTTTTATTTTACTGGCAGTAGATAATAAAGACCTGTCACTAGTAGTAGTAACAAAAAATACTGCAAAGAATATGAAAAATTAATTATTGTTGAAAAAAAAACATAAGTACAAACAATTCCAGAAGAAAAAATGAGGTTGTTGTTTATCTTGATTCATTTTTTTTTTAATATTTCAAGCAAAACCGCAAATTACCAAAAGTTTTTTCCAATACAACCTTTCTCAGGATTGAATAAAAGTATTAATACAGTTTGGAAGCGGATATGAGCGGAACAACTTTTTCTCTAAACAAAGAGTAAAAACCAAGTTTTTTTGAAACAAGTTGCCGTTACACCAACCTAGAAAGTGCGGCAAATAAGCAACAAAACAACGAATTTTAGCGATTTGCGCTAACAAATGTTATAACTGGAATGACCAAAAGAAATTACTAAAAACAATTTAAATAACAAAGATTTGAGGAAACCATGCCTATTAAGAAAAAACTATACCTTTTAGGGTTTCTTTAATGAATCTCTGAAATTTGAAATAGATTGATACAATGGTTTCAACAGAAATGGAAAGCAGATCGAATTTTTAACAAAAAAAACCTTCAAACCGCATACCCATAACTTCACGCGTTCAAAGAGGCGTTATTATGACAAATAATAAAAATAACAATTAAAATAACTGTAACAATACCACAATAGGAAATAAGTGCAAAGTTTATCTTACCACTGCTTTGCATTTATTTGATGCCCCTGCCATTAAAAGCGATGAACCAAAAAGTTGTAGAATTCTACAAAGACCATTTTGTTTTCGTCACTTTACTTGTAAAATTTAATACCACAAATCCCTATAATTCGTGGTTTCGGCGTTACAACCGCTTACCTCGCTTATTTATCCACCCTGGACATAGGGTTATTTATTCTATATAGATTTTCAGGATTTACCTGTTTTATTGTGATTTATGGCTTTAACATTTTGTGGCAATGTGGCGTGGATTGTTGTAAACTCCTCTCTCAAGTCGAATTTTATTTTTGACGGACCGAAGATGTTGAGAGATTTTTGAACTAGTGGTAAATCTGGTTTTAACGTTATAGTTCTTTAGAAATTTTTTTATGTAGTCAGTAATATTTTGAATGTAAGGAAGGATCACAGTGGCCTCATTGCTATTGGAAGGTTGTGGTGAAGTGTAACGCTTAATATCTTTAATCTGGAAATTATTAGATTTATTAAATTATTAAATTATTAACATAATTTTGGTTTTAGATGAAAGGTGTCGAGAGCTTTCTTCTCAAAGATTTCCACAAAATATATTCGTGATGACTGGTGATGGTGGAAAACCCATAGCTGTTCCCGACGTTTTTTCAAAAATTTGAACGTTATAACTAAAATTTGTTCGAGACAAGCACTTTTCGATTAAGGTGAAAAGGTTTAGTTCCAGATTCTCGAATTTTACTAATGTAATGCTTTTTAATTGTTCAATTAAGTGAAAGGAATTAAGTACGAAACTATCAGTTTTCTCTGTAAGGGTTTTTAATTCGGAAGCTAGATATTTTGCTAGAGAATATGTTGGAGTACCAATGGTGCTGACAATAGGTCGAAGGGGTAATCCTGATTTGTGGATCTTTGAGAGTCCGTAGAGACGAGAAATTTTAGAGTCATGGGTGACAGATTTTTTCACGGAGTCTGATAGAGCCGTAATAACAGATAAGGTTTTTATCCATAGATGACGTAGGATCATTTTTAAGTTGACGACATGATCCGTCTGTAAGAATATCTTGAATCTTTTCCTGATATTCATTTGTGTCCATGACCATCGCAGCATTTCTTTCTTTTCATTTTAGAGATTTTAAGGTAATGCGTCCAGGCTTTGCAATATTGGATTTAGGAGGTCTTGATTTTTTAAAGATTTTTGTTGTTTCAAATCGAATTTCATTATTGATTGAATTTCATTCACCATCAGTAGCCTGTGGAAGTATCTTTGAAAAAGTAAAAAAAAATGTTTCCTTTTGGCAAGCACTACCTCATTTGCTATTTGCCGCATTTTAACGGTAAAAGCACTCTCTATATTATTTGACAGTTCAATACTGCTTTTTACAATAAAAGTAGTATGCAAATACCTTTGAACTTCAGATACTTTTGTTTGGGAGTGGTAAGTTATGGGCCATTGTCGATCATGGGTCATTATAAAACATCCGTCTTACGGTAAACAGATGAATATCAAATTCACGTTAACCCTTCCCACGAACCACCTGATTTTGTTAGTTTTATATAAAATCACGAAAATATTCAAATTTCTTTAAATTGATTAAAAGTGAAATAGGAACAAACGTTAGTTTCATATAAAAAGATTTTTATTAAGAATAAGATTAGGAAATGAGACGTTAAAAGGAGAAACTTAAGTCTACGCCTACCAGACGTTCGTGCCAAAATTAGTTAAT